CTCAGTGTCCTCACATGCAAAATGGGGATGAGACCTCCCTGCCTACCTCACGGGCTGCTGCGGAGATCAGAGGCCTGGCTGTGCAGGAAAGGGCATCTTACTGGTTCGATGCAGGATTCAGAGTGGAATCTGCTATAGGGCCCCCCCCCAGCCCAGTTGGGGAGCAGGAGCAAGGGCAGAGGAAGAGGATTAAGAGGCCTGAGCAGAGTGGCTCCCTGGACACCCTGTGTGCTCCGGGGGCCAGTGTGTGCACAAGGTCCACGCCTGTGTCCTGCCCCGCAGCAAGGCTGTGGTGGGCCCGGGTGGCAGCGGTCTGGGCTGGAGGGCCGGGGCTAAGTTAATGAGGTATGGATTGACCCGACTGGGCGCTGACGAGCTCTGGGCACTGGGCTTTGAGCAGTGCCTGCAGAATCAATACTAATCCCTTGATCCCATTAGGGGCTCTTGCGGATCTGTGGGACAAGGTCTGTGCCTCCCTCTTTGGGGCATTCAGGCTACCAGGCATGAACAGCAGAAGCTTTCTTACCCAGCCTGTCCTCGATCCACTCAGCAGACAGCCTGGTGTTCTCCCTCTGGTCGGGAGCACTGACCAGAGCCTGTGTGATGCTGGGCGCCCTCTGCCCGCACCGCCGGGCCTGCTCCCCAGAGTCAGCGGCGTCAGCTCCCAGCCTGCTTGCAAACGTCGGCATGGAATCACACGCAAACTGCTGAAATCGTGTGTTGAAATAAGTGTTGCTTCTTTGAAAATTTCGTAAGACGAATCTGGAAAGAAGTCCTCTGGATTAGGTGGAGATTGGCGGGGGAAAGTCGTAAGAATTCTAAAGGGTACTGCACTCGTCAGATTGCTCAGCAGATGCCCTTCGGCTCTCAAATCACTCTAAAGAAGTGAAAACTGGAGCTCGCAGGCGGCGTGCTGCGTGAGGCCGATGTCAGAAGGTCAGCGCAGACCTCCGGCCCTGCGAAGATAAGGGGGGCCAGCAGTGGGGAGCTGGATGCTGGGAAAATGTCCATGGAATGTGTAATTGTGGGGACGCATCATCTATTGAACAACTGGCTCTTCAGAAGTTACTCACGTTGAAATGCGTGCCGCGTGTATGTGTCATTTTGAAAGGTTCTTCACCGTAAGGGACTTTTTTGACTAATCAGTTAACTACTGTTCCCAGTCTTACTGGGTAAAAAGCTTTTATTATCCTCCAGAGAGGAGTGGCTCGGATGGTTCCTGAGCTTGTTTGCACCCGATCTCTGTCACAGGCGTGTGCACACACCATCGCGGGCACATTCTGTGCGCAGCACACATCAGTGCCTGGAGGGGGCGCGTGAAGCCACTCCTCCCTCCGGGCTGGGAGAGCTTCCTCTCCCACATTGCTGGGAATCTAACGCAGTGCCTTGCCCACCACAAACGCTCAATTAATATTTGTGGACTGAAATCAAATAAGCCCCCTCTTTGTGGCCTTGGGCACTGATGAGGCTTGAACACCCACAGGCTCAGCGGAAAGCCTCTCTGTGCGTTGAGAATTGGCCAGCCTTGGCGGATCCTCGCACATGCCTGGCTTTCCCGGGCCCGGCCACTCCACCCGTGCTCCGCCCCAGCCTGGGCCCGTCAGAGCCTTCCGCCCGAGTCCCAGGCACCTGGTCTCATTCACAGCCCATGACACCCTGAAACCCTCAAATTCCTGCAGAGAGGTCTTCCCAGACAAGGCCAACCTCCACGGCCTCTTGACCCCTAGTCACGGCTCCGTTTCACGGGCAGTGTGACGCTGGCCCTTGATGTCACCTGAGCCCCACCTCTCTCAGGTCGGGCATTTCTTCGTCCTCACGCAGCCCTGACTGTCCAAAACTCAAGCTGCTACAGTAGCAGCACTGGAAATTCGTTAGTGCTCTTCCAACCTGGCCTCCACACTTCAAAGATGAGGACCAGGACAAGGCAGGCTGCCGCCCTCTGACGTCCGCGCACTGACCCAGCTTCTGCGGCCCGTGCAGTGATCGCCCTCCGTGGGGCGGTGCACGTCCCGCCCCCAGTGCGGTCTGTCTCTGTCCACCAGAGGCTCTGAGAGCACGGGGTGGGGCCTCGTGGCTCCACATTGCTGAGGGAGACATGCCACTGACGGGTCAGTCACAGCCCCGAGCGCCAGGTGTCAGGCTGCCAGGCGTGACCACAGCATTAGGGTCTGGCTCATTCACAGCTGCACACACCTCTTCCTGTCCCACCCAGAAGCGCCCTTCCCAGCCTCCCACTCTTCCTCCAGCACCCCGTTCCCCCCACCCTTGCCCCTGGGTTCTTGTCTCCTGGGCTCTCTCGGGTGTGGCCAAGCCTCTCCCTGAGGCAGACGCAGGCTGTGGAATCACCAACACTGGTCACCTTTGCAGCCCATCTCAGACTTGGCTGCAGATGGGGGGGGCAGTGCGCCCCACCACCCACCCCAGACCCCCCAGGCCAGGCACCAGTTCCCACGCCCCGCTCCCTGCTGGCCAGTTGGCTCCCCCCAGGGCTGGGGCGCTCTGTGTTCTGCTTAATAACCGCCTGGTAATTAGCTCCTCGATTTTGCTACTATGCTTATAATAGCCTCCATTAAAGTTATGGGGTTTTCAAGCCATAATGGCTTCCAGAGTAATTAATGCACAACTGGGTTTATTGCTAAGTTTATTTTTAGAGCTTTTCTCCCTCTTCCCCCCTCCCTTTCCTCTCATGGATGTTTTGACCAAAAAGACTGGATGGGATCAGAACGCTCCCTATGGTGCCCTTGCTCCCGCACCTCCGTCCTTCCCGTTTTCCTTCCTGCCCCTCCTTCCTGCTGCAGCCCCGGGCAGGTGCTGGGACCCTGCAGTGGAGGCAGCTGTCGCAGAGGAGGGTGGCTCTGAAGTGGTGCTAGTCCCGGCCAGAGAAAGCATTTGGCCTGCATGTGTCCCCTGGCCACCTGCACCTGGCCCAGGTTCTGGGGCCTTAGGGGCCTGGGACCTGTCATCCCACACTCCTGGTGACAGTGTATATGGCCTCGGTTTCATTCTGGCTCCTTAGGCAAGTTCCTCACATCTCCGGCCTCTGTGAGTGCAGCTGTGAAACAGGGATCACAGCAGCTAGCCCCGGCCGCACAGGGCTGTTGCGAGCGCTGCACGGGGCAGCATGTGACGTGTCCAGCACCGTCTTTGGACACCGTGAGCATTGCAGGACAGTTTGCTGTTATCTACAGCCCACACGGACAAATGGGAGATGGGCAGGTGCCCAAGCAGGTGCAGGACAAAGGGCAGGAACGTGCTCAGCACGTGGGCGTGCCTGGGTGGACCGAGTTGTCACGGCACTCGCCTTCTCTCCTGGGCTTTCTCCTTCCCAGAATGGAACCCTCACCAAAGCTGAGAAAGCTCCTTGAGGGGTCTCTGAGAACACAGAACTCTTCCCAGGCATCTCTGCAGCCCTGGCCAGCCTAGCCTCCCCATCCTTCATCAGATGTGGCCTAAGATCACGCCAGCCAAAACTCGGCCTTGACACAGAGCCCTGTGCAGCTCAGGTGGCCTGAGTGTGGGTGGACAGGGGCTAGGTCTGGGGCACGTGGGCATGAGGTCACTCCACTTCTCACATGAGACCCAGCCGGTGAGAGATGCTGGCTCTGTCACTTGCTGGGCCAACGAGGAGGAGTTTGTAGGGGACAGAGTACACGCAGGGCGAGAGTGAGGGCCCCGCCTACATGTGCCCACACCATTGGTCCCTGCCTGTGACATTAAACTCCAGTGGTGCTTCAATTCCCCAGGGAGTGAGGGCAGGACACTGGGGACAGAGTGGGCCTTTGGTGGTAAGGGCTGGGCTGGGGATGCTGGCCGTCCCAGGAGACCACAGTGCCCTCAATGGGCCTCCCCAGGGTGTCAGAACCACCTAGAGAGAGGACCCGACAAGGAGAGGAAAGCACACTATTTCCAAAACTGGGGGCCAAAAGTCCTCCCCAGCCATGGCTCTGGACTCCGCCAGAGATGGCGAGCACAGGCTGGCTGGGGCTGGAGCGGGGCCTCCGAGGGTGTGTCCCTGCACAGTGCTGGGCCCTGGGGGCAGTGGGCTCACCAAGGGCTGGCCAGGGCTGGCCTCCCTCCCCCCACCTCCAGCTGTGTCTTGCACAGCACTTGGCTCGGAGGCAAAAAGGAAGGAGGAGAAGATGTGACAGTTTCCAAGGTGTTCTCCAGGTCTCTGCACCAATTGTCCTTGTCACATGAAAGAACAGGTCCCCAAGGGGACACTGCCAGTGGACCCTCTGCAGGACTGAGAGGAAACTTCTCCCCCTGCTCAGCTGGGGGCCCTGTTTTCATTTTTGAGAGCCATCTCCCTAGGATGCGGTGGCCCCCACCGGGACCGCGTCTTCTGCTTGGACGGGCTGGCCCGGCCCAGCCCCTGGCACTCCATTCTGCACAGAGCTGTGCCACACAGTAATTTCCTGTGGACGCTGGAGAAGGAAAGCATTCATGGCGTTTCTTCCCCAGGCCCATCCTTCACACGTCTTCCCTCTGTCCACAGAAGACTCCCCTGAATTCTAGCCCTTTTATCCAGGCTTTGAAGATAACCATGTGGGTCCAAATATTTTGACAACCTAGCAGCTAACATTTGAGGGCCTTGTGGTGTACCTCATTTAATTTAGAGACCAGCCTGTGAGCTAGGTAGGCACAGATTTTATAGATGAGAAATTTTATAGAAATTATCTCATCCATTTTATAGATGAGAAAACTGAGGCACAGAGGGTTGACATAACTGAGCAAAGGTCTAAAGCCTGTGGGTGGCAGAGTTGAAGCCAGGTGTCTCCAGGGTCTGTGCCTTTGACCCCAGCACCCTACTGACCCTCATACATGGAGCTGTGCCATGTCCCTGTGCCCATGAGAAGGACAGATGCCATTCCACCTGGGAGACGGACAGTTGAGGCTCCATTGTGAAACCCAACACTGCACGTCCCAGCGCAGGGCCAGCCTGCTGGGCGTCCGTCCCCATGCCCAGGTCTCTGGCTATCCTCTTCTGCTCTCTCTTGCAGGTGTCCACCTCCCAGGGTTCCTGACCCCGCCCCAGACAGCCACCGCTTCTCAGACTCCATTCGGGCCGGACTCTCCAAACCTGCTTCCGCAATGGGTGGGTTGTGAGCGCTGGTAAGACCTGCTAGCCAACATTCGGCTTCTCTGTTGTCCCCCTGCCTGGCCAGCCCGGCCCATGCCTGTTCTTTTCTCCCCTGTGCTGCCACCGCCCCCGTGGCCGCCCCTCTCCTGACCTTACCGCCACTCAGGTAATGAGGAGCCGTGGGCGCAGCCAGCCTTGGAGATGCCGAAGAGACGGGACATCCTTGCGATCGTCCTCATCGTGCTGCCCTGGACGCTGCTCATCACCGTGTGGCACCAGAGCACCCTCGCACCCCTGCTCGCTGTACACAAGGGTGAGCCGCCTGCGCACCCCTAGCCGGGCTTCAGTAACGCCAGTGGCCACAGCTAACGTGCAGGGTTCTTGTTCTTGCTCACCAAACAGCAGGGAGAAACCATAGGGTCACCAAGGCCATGATCTGGCCCTTTGTGGAGTCTTGGGCCCCTCTGGGAGTCTGCTGAAGCTGCCACATGCACTGCTGAAGAGATGCCCAGGAGGAGGGGCACGCCATGCCACCTGGGGCCACATGGGGAAGACTGAGTCAGTCAGGAGGTGGAAGGAGTGGGAGGCAGGCATGGGCAAAGCCACAGGTGTGGTGTTCGCAGGAAGGAAACAGTAAGGCACAATAAGCAGCTGAGCAGGCTCAAAATTAGTTTGAATAATTTTGGTGTGATGTAGGGTACACAGATGTTTTCTTACTGTGTGGTACCTGGCCGTGGGTGATTTAGGGCAGGGCGCTTTATTGGCTTGGGTGTGAGAGGTCCACAAAGGAGGTGGTGGGGTGTGGGCTCCGGATGGGTTAGGTTGTGTGTGAAAGGTATGTTTGCAGGCAAGTTGTTTACTATCTCTAGGAATTAGCTAGCCCTAGGAGGGGCAATCCCTCCCCAGGTCTGCAGGGCCCCAAGATGTTATAGTGTCATAAAATACAGAAAAAAATTTAAAAACAAACAGAATTAGTGCACACACGTATAGAGACACACATGCACAACTTTGCATCCAATCTCATGATGTGCAAGACATGCAACCACCTAGCATTGGCTGGGAGTAGGATAGGATTTCTGACCTGTATTGCATTTTAAAGCCTTTCTAGGAGAGCATATTGTTTGCTCCTCTTTTCCTGCTTAAGAAACCTTGGTCTAGTCCTACCTGGTGGAAATAGGGCTAGAAAGAGAGAGTTCCAAGAAGAACTAGTGGGGATAGAGCCACCTTCTCCCAGCTCGAGTTCTGAAGTTGCTGTCCCTCTCACACAAAGCTCCCTATACCCCCAGCCTTCCATGTGCCCCACAGCTGGCTACTGCTCAGTCCTTGGCTCTTGGTCTCATGCTGTCTTCTGCCCCTGCCCCCACCCCACACATGCACAGATTCGACACTTTCAAGCAGACATTCTCCCACTGTGATGTGCATGGCATCACACATATCACAGGGAGAGTGACAGCACAGGAAGGCTCCCAGACCCATCCCAGCGAGAGGTGGGGTGGCACCTGGGAATACACAGTGGCCTGTAACCCCAAGATGTAGGCAGTGTCCTAAGATTGTCGCCTGAAGCTGTGCTGCTCCATACAGTCAAATGTCAGGTCCCGAAAACCCCTAGCAGTTCCAGAAGTTTCCATGAGGAAGGGTCAAGCTCACGATGGCTTCATGCTCACTCCCTAACGCTGGGCACTTGGGGCCTCTCTCCTGACAGAATCCTTCCAACTCCAATACCTCTCTTTGACACCTCTCAGTTTAGAATCATTGTTATCCTACATCATTTTGGAGGGGTTAGAACTACTATACATAAAGTGACATGATAGTGTGTCGATTGCATTCTTGGCAGAGTTCTAACTTTGAAGACATCGGGCTGTTTTGCTAAGCACTGATGGTAGTGCCTAAGGATAGGGACTTGGCGTTCTGTCCCTCCAGAGTGCGCCAAGAGGGACAGAATGAAAGCTGTCATTAAGCGAAGTTAGGGTCACCAGGAGGCCGGTATGACTCAAAGGTGCAGAAGTCCTGAAGCCAGTGGGAAGGGCAGAGCTCAGGCCGAGGCTGAGTTCTGGTATGTGGGGAACTTTCCCAGAGCACAGGTCTCCCACGCACTTGGGATGATTTGGGTGGAAGAGAGCTTGGGGAAAATGACTCTAAATCTCCTCCCCAGGCCTTGGTTTCCAAAACCTTACTGACTGCAGGGTAAATTAAAACTTACATTCGAGTCAGAATCCTGACACCTGCCCCTCTTTCTTCAGCCCTGCTCTCTTCGCACAGTTTGACCTAAAGCTCCTTCAAATAATCCCCTTTAATCAGCTGCATTTTGTGCTGGTCCCCTTCCCATCCCAGCATCCTGTCTGGGGCCTGGGTCACTGGCCCCCAGCTATTGCCATGTGTCATGCTGTGCCATTAGCCTTGTCTTCCTCTGAGTTCAACTGCAGGTGCCTCACACAAGCACCCCACACACCCGCATGCTGCTAATGACAGTGCTGGGACAGAGAGAGGAAACAGAGGGGCTGGTGCATCCTCCCTGGGACCATGCTCCTACTCTGTCATGTGACTTGCCCATTTCATCGTTTCATAACTGCCAGAAGCCATGAGGAAGTGGGGCTGGTCACTGCCCTTCCACACATGAGGAAGTGACCATAGCTGTGTCTAGTAGTGCCCTGACCCTTGATGGGTATCAACTCATTAATCCACATAACAGCTCGATAAGGTAGACTGTTATCTCTGCTGTCGTTGAAATCAAAGCACCAGAAGCTTCGCAACTTGCTCAAAGGCATATAGTCAGCAATGACAGAACTGGGCAGGGTCTGAGCCTAAAAGCATGTAAATGTCCAGCTCTGTCCTCTGACCACTGCCACCCTCCACTGAGGTAGGGCAGCGGGGGCCAGACCATCATTGGTGCATGAGTCTTTCAGACAGAAAGGAGAGGAGGAACTCACAACTATGGCAAAACCCACTGGAATGAAATGCAGCAGTTAAATACGAAGTTCTGCACCAAGATTCAAAGACTTGATTACATAAGGCCAGGAGGGGAAAGGCCACACTTGACTAAAAGGCTTGTGAAAATCTAGGGCAAGCCAGCCTCTGAGGCTCCTTCGAAGTCCACAGTGTGCTGCAGCCACAACACACCAACCCTGCCCTCGGGCACTGGGACATGGCGCAGCGTGCGGTGCTGCTGTGCGGTGCTAGCCCAGCCCCGTGCACAGCGGCGGGCTCAGCCCTGGCCAGATGAGGAAGGCCCTAGGGTGCTACGGATTCTCAGACGCTTTGCCATGTAAAACACAGATACATTCAGGAACTGAGGGTGCAATCTTGGAATATGGCCAGCTGCACTCGAATAAGTACAGGGCTGCAAATGTTATTTTTCTGTATGACAAATTAGAGGTATTTCTGTGTCATCCCTGTGAGAACGAGGCAAATCCCTATGAGACTTCCAGGGATGCAGATTTCAACCTTAGCGCTAACAGGGTGGGGGAGGAGGCGGGGGCCTGAAGCCCTTCCCGCAAAGGGGCAGGAGATGATCTTGACAGGGTGGGTGGCCTTGAGCCCTGCATCTCGGGCCAGAGGCAGGCAGGCGCTCCGGTCCTCACGCGCCCACCTCCCAACTCTGCAGATGAAGGCAGTGACCCCCGGCGCGACGCACCGCTGGGCGCGGACCCTAGGGAGTACTGCATGTCCGACCGCGACATCGTGGAGGTGGTGCGCACCGAGTACGTGTACACGCGGCCCCCGCCGTGGTCGGACACTCTGCCCACCATCCACGTGGTGACGCCCACCTACAGCCGCCCGGTGCAGAAGGCCGAGCTGACGCGCATGGCCAACACGCTGCTGCACGTGCCCAACCTGCACTGGCTGGTCGTGGAGGACGCGCCGCGCCGCACGCCACTGACGGCGCGCCTGCTGCGCGACACCGGCCTCAACTACACGCACCTGCACGTGGAGACGCCCCGCAACTACAAGCTGCGCGGCGACGCCCGCGACCCGCGCATCCCGCGGGGCACCATGCAGCGCAACCTGGCCCTGCGCTGGCTGCGCGAGACCTTCCCGCGCAACTCCAGCCAGCCCGGCGTGGTGTACTTCGCCGACGACGACAACACCTACAGTCTGGAGCTCTTCGAGGAGGTGCGGGGCCTCTGTCGCGGGGGCAGAGGCGCGGGCGGCTTCCTGGGCAGGGCCTCGCGGCGGCAGGGACACTCATCCGGGAGGGAACCGGGCGGGACTTGCCAGGCTGGGGGCGGGGCAGACCGCGGAGCGCCAAGGACAGGGAGCAGAGGCTCAGTGCAGGTTGCCGGTCCTCCGCCAGGACGGGCAAGACGGCGGTGTCTGGCGCGGAGCGGTGGTCCGGGCCTTAGGGGCACCGTCCGAATGGGGGCTTTGTGGGAGCGTTCAGTGTGGCTGCCAGAATGCTCACTGGTGAAACAGCTTCCCTGGGGTTTATGGGCCCTGTCGGTCTGAGGGAGAGGGAGGAGTCTGGCTGGGAAGATAGGTTTTGTGCAAGGGAGAGGACAGCAGCAGGGTCTGTTGAGAAGGTGAAGGCCTGCGGGTCTGAGAGGTCTGGTCTTGCCTGGAGCAGGCTCTTCTGCAGGTGCCCATCATGGAGTCGTGCCTGGGGCAGGGCTGGGCGGCATCTCTCTGGATGGCTTCAGGTGGCCCATGCCCATGGAGTTCGTGGACTGCTTTCACCGGCCATGGGCACGGGCGTCATTCCCTGTCAGCAGGCCTGGTGTCCTGACGCTAGATCCCCACTTGCAGATGCGCAGCACCAGAAGGGTGTCCGTGTGGCCCGTGGCCTTTGTCGGTGGCCTGCGGTATGAGGCCCCGCGGGTGAATGCGGCAGGGAAGGTGGTCGGCTGGAAGACAGTGTTCGACCCCCACCGACCATTTGCAATAGACATGGCTGGATTTGCGGTCAACCTGCGGCTCATTCTGCAGCGAAGCCAGGCCTACTTCAAGCTGCGTGGCGTGAAGGGAGGCTACCAGGAAAGCAGCCTCCTTCGAGAACTTGTCACCCTCAATGACCTGGAGCCCAAGGCAGCCAACTGCACCAAGGTAAGACCCTTTGCAGAACCGCTGACAGGGATGCAAGCGTTTCTGTGTCAAACCAGAGCCTCCCAACAGATCAAGGGAAAGGAAATAGAGGCCTAGAGGCCTAGAGGCCTATCTAGAGATAGCCTTGCTTTTCTGAACCACTCCCTCCCCAAGTCAGGGAGGGCAGCAGAGATAGCCATCAGGGAGTCACAGCCTCCTTCAGACCAGCGGTGCTCCGCACCCCCTGCTGGACACAGGCACACACCACACGTGGGCACATACATACTTATGCACACACACTTGGGAAATCCTGAGACTTGTCTATTTACTGTCACTCTTGACTTCCCGTTCCCAACAGGTATTTTAAATGCACCATGTGCACAAAAAGCAGGAACCAAGGAGTGGGTAGAAATAAAGAACAATTGACGAAAGCTTGGTGGAACATGGGCAGAGAGGGAGGAGCAGGAGAAATACTTGCAAGGTGGGGAGGGAGCAGGGAGGTGGCAGGGCAAGGGACCTGCTCCACTTTGTTTTGTGTCCCTGGACACAGATCCTGGTATGGCACACACGGACAGAGAAGCCCGTGCTGGTGAATGAGGGGAAGAAGGGCTTCACCGACCCCTCGGTGGAGATCTGAGCCTCGGATGCAGGTACGGGGACCGGGGGGCTGGGAACTGGGCAGGGCGATACCGCGTTGGCTGCAGCACAATCTCTAGAGGCTTCTCCTCTTGGTCTTTAATTCTAGGAGGACAGGGCAAATGTGGGCAAAAGTAGAAGAGGCATAGCCAAGGTCCCCTTCCCGTTGTGCCCACTGAACGTCCTCAGGTGCCACCTTCACTCACACGGCTGGGTCCTCTGCCACCAGCCACTTCAGAAAGCATCGCTGTCCGCCTTGCTTGCGCTATGTCAGCACTGCTGTCGTGCTGGCCAAGACGCCCGTGCCACTGCAGGGGCTGCTGTGTAGGCCCACTTGCCCAGTCGAGCCTCCTGAGGTGCCACTTTCCCCTTGGCCCTGCTTGTTGCCGGCCAGGACAAGGACACCCAGCTCACGGCTCCACACCTGCGAGCGCGGCCCTCCACAGTGGGCACAGCTCAGGGCGAGAACCCGGGCCGGGAGCCACTTCAGCTCCCAGGCCTGCACCTCCTGCCATTTGTGCTTTACTTCTCTGTGCCTCAGTTTCTTCAGCTGGAAAGTGGGTTGTTGAGGGCACCAAGAACAGTCTGTGACACATAATAAGTCCCATATAAGTGTTGCTACTTTTCTTTGCTTCCTTAAAGCCCCCTGAGGAAGTGGGCCACGGGGCCTATCTGTGCTTCAGGGATAAAAAAATGATGTTCAGAAAAGCTAAAGGACTTTTCCAAGGTGACACACTGGCACAAGTGAATTATGCTGGGTGACTGGCAAAGCCAGAATTTTTGAGGGGCTTTTCTGTGATCTTATCCTGCCTTTTAAAAGCACCTCCTACTCCTGACTCCCTACTCTAGGTTAGTCAGACACAGGTGGGAGCTCAGACCATGGACAGACCTCTGTCCTCTGGCCCTGGAGCTAAGCAACCACAGGAAACTGCAGGGTGCCACTCTACCTATTTGTCTCCCTGAACTTAAAAAATTGCCTTGGCCGTGCCACTTAGAGCGCAGCAGGACGGTCCTCATTCCGTTCCCTGCCTCCTGCTCCCATGGAGTCACTGGAAGAACCTGCCTCAGAAAGGTCTTCCCCACCTGCCCCAGAGAGGTCTAACAGAGGACTGTGGGGCCCAGGCTCTGTGGCACCTGGTGGCCCGTTAGGGACTCAGGATAGAGTGGCTTGGCCAGGCAGGCCGCTCCCTCCCCAGCCCCACCCTTACTCACTCCTCCTCTCCCTCACAGGAGCCTCCTCCTCCGACCCTGTTCTCGGCCTTCCATCCTCTCCCCACGGCGATGGTCCCTCCAAGGCAGACACTAAGGAATCACCATCACCCTCTTTTCTATTCTGGGGCTTGAGAGAGAGCCCAGCCTGTTGCCAGGACAAAAGACAGAGAATTTAAGCACAGAAATCCCAGGCCTGTTCTCTCCGTCCAACGTGACCAGGCCTGAGAGACCCGAGGGCTAGTGGGGTGCAGCTGCCACTAAGCCGGCGCCCCAGGGTGCCTCCCGGGAGCGTCCTGCACCAACAGGGCTGCAGGAGCAGTCGCCGCGGCGCCCATGCCTGCCTGGAGTGGTGTGGGGCTGGGAGGGGCCAGAAGACCCCGCGTCAAGTGGAGCGTGGCCCTCCCCAGCTCTCTGCTCCCGGGCCAGCTCGACCACACAGGACACCCTGCCAGGCAATTCTGAAGACCAGGAGAAGCCCCCGGGCATCGCGAATGCCCCGCACCCCTCCTCAGCACCTGCTCTTCCCAAGAGCTGCTCCCAAATCAGACATACCTCTCTGGCTCTCCTCTGGTTCATGTTTACAGAGCATAGGCTGTCTTGATCCCAGCAGGCACCAGCCCTGCGTGGGGGCCTGGGCCTGCCAACAGGCGTCCCCTATACCTCAGGCTGTGGCGGGGAGCGGAGTCCCTTCCTCTGGCCCCACTTCCCTCCGCCTTCTCCTCCAGCACTGGCCAGGAGGTGGGCCCTAGAACAGCACAGGTCACTGCCTGACCTGGACTAAGAACCATGTGACCCCACTGTCCACACACTGCCTCCTCGCCGCCAGCTGGGCTGCAGGGCCCTCGCCTGGACTGGCCCGGGGAGGAGAGGCGCCCTCCTCCCGCAGCTTTTGAGAACCACAGACCTCAGGACTGGATGGGCTAGTGGCAGGGGAAGGGAGTTCTCCTCCAGCCTGGAAAGAGGAGGGAGGCCAGGGCACCCCCCAACTCCTTTCTGTCCCTGGGCTAAGGAGGAATGGGCCTTGGCGTAGCAGAGGGACTGAGGGAGAGCGGCGGGGATTAGCTGACACTGAGGGGAAAGGAGACCTGAGCACACACTGCTTTGGAAATCATTCTATTTTAAACACAAAAAGGGAAAGAAAATCTCACTTCTCCCTAAGTTGGGAGCATGCAGAGCTGGCAGCCTCATGTCCCGCTGCCCCGTCCCCAGCCCAAAGAAAGAACAGTGTGCCATGAGCTGCTGCCCTCCCCCCAGGGAAGAGTGTCTCCCTGAGCCTCCCTGGCCACCGGGAGGTCCCTGGCTCTCTGACCAGGACGGGCCCTCTGATGGTGATCTTGCTCATACTCCTGCAAGTTGGAAGCACAATTTTTCTCCTAATGGAGGAAAAGGAAAGGGCCTGAGCCTACTGCAAAGGTGTTTATTTTTTAACTGCTAACAGCCCCCCCTCCATTAAACTCACAGGACACATCTGAGGACCATTCAGAACCCACTGCAGGGTGGGAGGGTGGAACTCAGTCCAGAGACCTAACATACAGAGTATAGCATTGGTTGCCTATTTTCAAATGGATTTAACCTTCCACAGTACTCGAGAAAGCATCTGATGGAAGCAGATCCCTGAGCCACCTTGCAGGACGTTTTCCCCAACCTCTTACACTTTGGATGTCACTTTGGAAATCGGCCCCTTGGAGTCAAGTGGGGTGGCATGGGAGAGAAGGGGGGAGGTAGGCACGGGGCATCCATCAGATGAGTGAATTATGTCTGGGCACTCTATGCCTCACTCACTGAAACCAGCCCTGAATGCCAAGGTCAGCTTGGCTGGTCTGAGGCCACCTTCTTAGCCAAAAACCCAGGGCTTATTTTCAGGAAATCGATAATGAACAATAAAATGGGGACCTTTTTTGGCAGATGCTAGGTCAGTTATTTTCACCTAATATCCTCCTTTAGCTGCATGTATATTTATTTATAAGTATAACCCTGGTGGACTGCAGCCTTCATCTTTGTTGGGAATGAGTTTGTTATAAATCAGAATTGGGTCCATGAAGCGTTGTTTTCCAAGCCCCGTCTGTGCCCTACCCCCTCCATGGCAAGCCCCAGCACACAGGAGTGAGAGGCCAGGGGCAGACAGGAGTTCTGAGGACAGATACTGGGGTGAGGGTGGTGCCCAGGCAGCTGCACCTGGTCTGTTTAATTTAACTGTATTTAAGTTGCTTTTGAAATTAAAAGTCAAATATGGTTTTTAACAGTCCTAATCCTCTTCAGCCCTGCCTTATTCTCATTTATTAATTTAACCATCCAGCAGATATTTATCAGGTGCCTATTATGAATAGGCTTGCCCCTAGGAGCTGGTGCACAGCAGTGAGAAAACAAAGCCCTCACCCTCACAGAGCCCACCTTCTAATGAGAGGAGATGGACAATAGCAGGTGAATGGCATTTCAGATGTGACCCGCTGTGAGAACGGAGCCAATCGGCGAGACAAAGCGCAGAGTGGAGAGGGAGGTCAGAAAGGCCTGCCCAACGAGGGACATCTGAGCAACACCCCACTCGCAGCTCCCAGGGCTCCCCCAGGCGGGAGAGGGCTGAGCGTGCACACAGATCAGCACAGGGGCCTATGTGGCGTCACTGACTGGCGGCGGTGGGAGTGATGGGGGGAGACCAGGTGGACGGCGTGGGAGGAGAGTCCAGAAGGTGTCGGCCCAGGAACCAGGGTCGAGCTTCAGCTTCAAATCCGAGCACAGTGAGAAGGCAGTGGAGGGTTCAGCACAGGGGACCGACAGGGTCTGCTGCCTTTCAGAGAGCCACCCTGCTTCCTGTGCCGATACGCCAAGCACAGGCTGGTGGGGAAGTGGCACCTGCAGCAATCCAGGCACGAGGTGGCAGCAGGCTGGGCAAGGGCGCAAGCTTGGGGCAGAGAGAAGTGATCGAATTCCGGATGTGTTTAAGGGGTAGAGCCAGGAGGATTTGCCAGTGGGTTGGAGGTGGGAGATAAGGATCGTCCAAGGCACAGAACTGCCATAGGGACAGGGTGCGGGGGGCAACACAGAGGAATTCAGAGCTCTGTCCCAGGTACCTGCTAGAATGTGCAGGAGAGCAGGTGAGGGGAGCTGCCCACACACCTGGAGCTCAAAGCAGGCCAGCACTCAGGGGCATTAGTGTCGAGGCTGTTACAAAGCCACAGTGTCACAGGCGAGACCCCATGCAGTGTGGACAGAGGCCCCCAGAATTCAGAGGCTGGGGCATGAGGAAGGGTCTTCGAAGAGACTAGGATGAGGCTGTGCAGTGTAGCTCTGGGCAAATCTTAACTTAGCTCTGGAGAATAAGCTCTGCCAAGTAGCACTTTGACAGAGAAGCCGCGGGGTTAACTGGCAGAGAAGAAGAACAAGAATAAGAAGTTGGTGCGGGAAGACCTCACCTTAAGAAACGAAACAGTAGTACATTCCTGCTCAAGTCTGCATAAAAGTATAATTCAAGGGGATTCTTCATTTACAAAAGGATTCACAGTAAGATTCCCTTAAATTCCAGCTTCCTGTTACATCTTCCAACAGAATCCACCTTACACACAGCTTTGCAGAAACACACTCCCATTGCTCCCTGGCTCACGCCACGCCCACGTAGCCCTGGTCTCATCCACATCTTGGCTTGATGCTTGCTGTTCCGAGGCAGATCTGGAAGCTCTGGTAAGTTTGGGCAAAATTAGGCACTCTGCCCCCATTTTGCTCCCTAGCCACTCTGTCCACAAGCTCTACTCTGGTAAGCTCCATCTCTCTGCCCCAAATGGGGCGTGTGGGCCCCCCTCCAACCATCTGCCCTTGACCTGCTCAGCCCTGGGCCCCAGGACTGCATACCACAGGTGTCCCCCAGTGCGCCACACCCAGGAAGCAAGCCTGCTGGCTCCGGGAGCCCCACGGCCAGCACCGCCAGCCTGTCTGTGCTGGGCTCCCAGTATGTGCACTGTGCTGGGCAGCCATGTGCTCTGACCGAAGATAATTTGTTAGGGGCAGTAGATGCCAGATGTAGTTTGCGAAGAAAACCTCCCTCCCCCTCCCCGAGCCCCCCACCTCCCAGACTCAGCTAACTTATCTATAGCACTCTCGGCTTTCTGGCAGATTTTCACCCCTGCCCACAAGAGTGGGTTTGTATTTGACCTCTCCTCTCCAGGGCACTTCCAATCCAGCGGCATTTCAAGGGGAATCAAGGTAAGGAGGGTGGCAGGAAGTGTGGGGGTGGCCAGGGGTGTGGACCATCCACCACTAGGGACCTGAACGTGAGCCTGACCCCAGCCTGCCTCTCCACTGGCTTAGGGTGACACAGATGAGGCCAGAGACATCACCCAAGAGGGTTTGATTCAACCTGGCTTTATTGCAATTGAGGACAGTGAGCCTGAGCCGAGCCATTGCACTTGATCCCCAGAATGACAGTCTCACATTCGGACGTGGGGACAGCTGTGGAGGAGGGCGGCCTCTCCTCCCTGCTGCTTGGGGAGGGGGGGGTACAGGGTGAGCAACCAAGCTTGCGGCCCTGTGGCCACCCCAACATTCCTGGGGCGACCTGCCCAACACCACTGAGCTGGGCCCCTGTCCTCTCCCTCCCCAGATGCTCAGATATGGGCTGCGGTTTCTGTGGGATCCACCTTCACTCCTCAACTGATGCTTGTCTCCACTGAATAAAACTGGAAATACTCGATAATTTAGCAGAAGACGTGGCTAAGCATTTCTGTGTCTCAAGCTCGGCTTGTCACCTGTCAGATGCAGCCAGAGCGGGAATGGAAAGGCGAAATCACGTGTTTTTCAAATGGAGTTTCTTCAAGAATCCCAGAGAAGGTCCAGGGCAGGTTGTGAAGGAAGAACAAAGTCAACACAGGTGAGACGCCCCTTTCTCTATCCTCTACAAACGGTGACAAACACAGGATTTCAGGATCACAGAGGGGCAGGAGGGATGTGGCCCCACCGAGAGCAGTCAAGGAGCACCCTGGGCCCAGGGTGAGGCGTGGCGCAGGGAAGCTGCCCAGCCAGTTCAGCCCCTTTCCTGAGGGCCCAGGTGGGCAGCACTTGGCGCTCTGATGAAACTACCCTCCCACCGGCACACAGACACCTCCACTCCTCCCAGAGGAACAGGGAAGTAGCAAAGGCGCCACCAACAAAGCGGCCTGAGAAGCCACCTGGGTATGGGGGGCTCCACGCCATCCCACGTTTCTCTTCAGGTTTAGGGCTTTGAACTGAGCCGGGGCAGACGGGAGCCCCAAGGTCCCTGAGGCTGCTACTTAAGGACGCTCAGCAGGGGAGGGTGCAGGGGGCTAGGGCTGCGGGAGGAGGCGGGCTCGCCTGCGCCCCCAGCAGGAGGTACTGGGCCTAGGCGGTGCTGCTCACTTAATGTACTGGTTCCTGCCTAGGTGGGGGGTTTCAGTGGACTGTACCATCGGGCCTGCCATGGTCTCCTCGAAAATGATCACCTGGGGAGAGAAGGGCTGGGTATGAGAGCACTGAGATGGTCCCGGTGCCAGACAAGGGCGCTGAGAGGCGGCAGGGGGGGAAGGGAAGGGATTTGGAACCAGGCTGGAAGGAACAGGGGCCCTTGTCGGCACCAAGGAAGAGGGAGAAAGAAGCCGACTGAAACTTCTGCCCTCCCCTCTGCCCTCACCAAAGGCTCCCAGGGAAGCACTCTGACGCCAGGGAGGGCAGGGATGGGCAAGGTGTCTCAGGGGAAGGGAAGGAGGCTGGACGTGTTCCCACCTGGTTGATTCCTTTGTCCAACCAGGGACCTGGGAGGTAGAGGGTCTTTTGGGGTCCAATGTTCCAATAGCGTCCAAGGTTTTGGCCATTGATGAATACGACCCCCTTCTCCCAGCCCTTCAAACAGAGTAGGAAGGGTATTAGTCTCCCACGACAGCCACCAAATATACAGGCGCACAGGAAGGCAGAGACAAACAGACACTATGCATTCTTCTCTCAGGTTCTGAGAGACCACAGTGAGCCAAGGTTTGAACAACCGTGAGGGTTGAGGGTGGGGTGTCTGTCTCCTGTCCCACCAGCTCTAAGCATCCCCAGCAGGGCACCCAAGCTCAGACTGACGTAGGAAGCTGGCCCCGAGAAACAGCAGGTGGTGCTTCTGCTTTGAGCCTGTGCCCCGAGCCTTCCAATAGGGAGGCCCTCTGGGCGCAGGTTGCAGAGGGACCCAGCCAGGCCAAGCACAGGTGGCTTTTGGCTCAGGGCACTCTGAGAGGGAGAGGGGGACCCTGGCAGGGGTCTACAAGTGGGCCTACAGACCTCCAGCTTCAGAAAGGTGTCAGAAGGGGATGGGCCAACTGACAAGCCGCCCAGGAAGAAAGCAGGAAACGTGGGTGCTTCTGGGAGAGGACTCCATTTGTCGATACCAAACCTGAAGGCAGAACAAGGGGCGGGGGTGGGAGGGGGAGGGGAGGCACTGTCTCAGATCTGCTTCCAGGGCTGCACCTAATTCCCAAGCACGTTTCTTCCCCATCCAAGGTCCCCAAGGCACCCCTCCCACTCGGGGTCTGCTTGCGTGGTGCCACCCTCCCCTCCCGTGGGCACACCACTGCGGCCTCAGGGGCCATTCACGCGTGGGCCCAGCGGGGTGGGGAGGAGTGTTGTCCCCACACGCTGTGAGCTCACACGCTGCACAGGGCAGGGACCCACCTCTGAAAGAAGCTCTTTTTCATATCCAGGCTGTAGATTCTGAACTTTTCCAGGGGAGAATCATCCAGATAGAGATTTCCGATTAAACCTGTGGGAGGGAGGCAAGGAGACACGGGCAGGCCCTGAGGTGGGAGCAGCTGTCCCGGCCAGGCCAGGGCCACCGGGGCAAGTTCTCGGAAAGTGCAGGTGCTGAAGTATAGGCAGGCTGCCCAAGTAGCTCTTCCCTTGGAACAAAACCTCCCTAGAAGGCCCAAGTGGGGCAAGAATGAGGAAGACCCTAGGGTTTGCCAGGGAAGAAGGACACATCTGAGATCAGTGACAGAACAGGGTGTCACAGGGCAAGAACAACCTCCAGCCTCTCCTGAGGGATGCTCTGGATGACCAAAGGTCACTGGGGTTCTGACCTAGCTGCAGGGTCAGGCTCAGTGGGGTCCAGACTAAACGGACCTAGGATTAAACACATTTGGCAGTAAACTGTGAGCAGAGGGCACTGTCACTTGGGTATCTAACACTGAGGAACTGCGCACACTTGAATAGCGCGGATTAGTGCCCTGGGGCCTGGGCCAGCCACGGCGGTCCCAGAGTGGCTCCCGCGGTCCTCTCACCCACGGTGCTGCTAAGTTGCCAGGGCAGAATCCAGAGCCTGGGGACCATGTAGAGGCGTCACAGGGCCTGGGGGAGGTCTGTGACTCACACCGTGCACCAGAGTCAGAGGACAGGGCTCCGCGGGGAGGGGCCGGGGCACCCGTGATGAGGGTTCTGGGGACATAAAGTCTTAAGCAGGGGTGAGGCTGGCAGCTCCTTCCAACCCAGGAGAACAAAGGAAGGACATGAGGACGGGCCCAGGGAGGGGTCCCAGGAAGGTGCTGGGACACCAGAGGAATGGTGGCAACTGTCCAGGGCAGGGGGGAGCCCAGAGAGTGCTACTCTCCAGAGAGGCCCTGACCCCCAGGATCCCGGAGGCCCCTGTTTGGGCCACATCTCTTCCCTGGCTGGCCACCGGAAGGAAGGCTCTCGGCGGAAATTCTGACCACGGAAGAGCTCTGCGAGTTCCTCCGTTACGGACACAAACACCCCTGAGAGCAGTGGGGGGTGGCCGATTCTGTTCGCCATAGTAGGATTTATTTTGTCTGAGTTTTTTTTTTTTAATAACTTACCTGAAACCACCCACATTTAGACTGATAGATTTTTTTTAAAGGGAAGGGCTAAATTAACACATAAGATTTAGTCGGCCAGAAAAAATACAGTGAACTGGTGGGATGTTCCCAGAGGGCATGTTGTCAAGGGGTTTTGCGGACTGTATGTCTTGCTTCCTGCCTCCACCACACCCGGGACAATCTATGGGCTCCCCAAGACAGACTGAGAAAAGGCATCCAGTGTGGAGGCCCGAGAAGGCAGGGTCCTGGGCCCCGCTTTGGACTCCTGGAAATCCCGTTCCCGGCTGCTCACCGCCGCCCCGCAGACATCCCCTGCCAGAGCCGACTGCGGCCAGGCAGGTGGGGAGGCCAGCTCGGTGTTCAGGCGCGCTCGCTGCGAGCACACGGACACGCCAGGTGTGGAGTGCTGAAGGGAAAGAGGCCGGAACCTGCGGGCTTCCCTGGCCCACTCATACCTGTCCTCACAGGTAGGACAACCAGCCTCCACCTCTGCCCCGGGCCTCCACGGCCTGCTGGCATGCTGGCACAGAGATGGGACAGCCCACATGTGCTGCACATGCATGGGCTGCTCTTTCCCCAGCGTGTGCCAGGACCCACCTTTGCGCTGGTCATCAATATTATCCCCATAGTTGACTCGCCCACGATTCTCCACCAAGATCCGCAGCACCGTGTGACCCTGCCAGGAACACAGTGGCCGATGATGACTGCCCGATTACCTGGCCAGATGGTCACAGCTGCACCTCGGAACTTGTGTGTCTCCGAAGCCCAGTCCTTCCCTCCACTCTGAGGATGGCAGTGAGTGCCCCCGCTGGTCAGATGGTCATGCTTGCCCCTCTCCACCTGCAGCTCGTAGTTAAGGAGCTGCCTGTCTTCCAGCTTTTTCTCTGTGACTCCCACCAAACTCCCTAGGAAGTAGCCGGGCCAGCCATCCCCCACTCCCAGGATAACAAACCTGGACCAGTGGAATTTCAATACTCATGGTCTTATAGTCCAAGAATCCGATGGATACCGTGTTCACAAACACCTGCCGGAGGGAACAGAGGAAACCATCCAGGGTCACCAGGAGGCATGGCAAGAGGGACCTCTGCCAAGCCAAGAAGGAGGCAGCAGTGTCATGCGGGCCAAGGTGGGAGTCAGCTGGGTGGGGTATAAATGAATGCCCACAGGCACGGCTGAGAAGGATCTAAGCAACAGGCATGGGCAGTTTTTACACACTGAGAGCAGAGTCAGATGGACACTGCAGGGCTGGTCACTAGGAGGTCACAGGAATTAAAGAGGTGATCCTACCTGCCCCCGATCGCGCACAAGACCACTGAGGACGCCGGACGAGGTGATGGTGGTCTCATACAGAATGTACCCAAAGGACTGGCCATTCCCCTCATTGACTGGCAGGTTCTCCATGTTGATGGGATTTTCAGACTTGATTGGCTACGTACAGAAGAGACAGGAGCCCAGGGCCAGGCTCAGGAGGGGAGTGGCAGCAGCATCTTCTAGGGTGCGGGGTAGCAGACAGGCCCCGCCCGGGAGCGGCACACGGGGCGAGAGGCAGGGGCTCTGACTCTGCATCACACTATACCCGTGGCTCTCCAGGGTCACAGGGATGAGCCATGGGACACACGGGCAATAGCAGGGTAGAGCCCTGCAATCGAGTGGACTTTTAGCTCTTGGAACCCGGTCATTTTTGCACCATAACACCCTCTGAACCAGCTGTGGCAGGTGCCCCTCACGGGGACGCCTCATAGGCCATTCCTCTGCCCCTCCCCCTCCTCTCTGAGGCTGGAGAAAGGAAAGGCCCATGGGGTGCCCCATTCTTCTCCCAGTTTCCTGTTCCTTCCACGTCATACTTTGGCATGAGTTGCTCTTCTTCACCCGGAGTTCTAAGTTGGAAAGTGGACTCAACGCCATCAACAGTGGGCTTCCCTCCTCCCAGCACCCCCATGACTGCCCGCAGCACTTACCTCCCCCATGTACTTGAGGGCGTCCCACAGGGACAGGTAGAAAGCTGGCATCATCGGCTCATACGTAGTCTTGGGAAGAAGGTCGGGCGGGGCAGGGAGAGGGGCACCTGCCGCATAGACACACAACAGGGCTGTCCCCAAATGACCCAGGTTGCCAGTGCCTCCTCTGCCTCCCACCCGGCTCCTGCCCACAGGCTGGTGTGCCCGTCTCCTCGAGATGACAGGAACAGGACGGGTGTTAGCGCACGCCTAGACCACGGTTAGAAAGCAATGCCTTGGGGGAAGGGGGGTCTCAAATCTTCCACGTGAGAGAAGGAGCCTTGACACCTACAAGTACAGAAGTGAAGCTGGCGAGGTGCAAACTACAGTAGAAACAGTGAGTGTCTCAGACTCTCCTGTCCTTGTCTAGGATGCTCTTGCACACAGACTGGCCGGGCTTGGGGTGGACAGCAGGAGAGAACTCATCAGGGGTCTCAGAGCAGGGGCAAGGGCCTGAGTCGGAGCTGACATCTGCAATATAGTGGGTACCTGAGAGGGAGCCAAAGAAGTCTCGAAGCTTGATGTACTTGGCTGTGTAATCTCCGGCCTCTGTCAGCACAGCATCATAGTCTGCAAGACACCGGGGCCTGCTGCAGTCATTCCTGTCCCCAGGATGTGCATACAGCAACACACAGAAAAGGAAGGAGCCGGGGTGGGGCAGCAGGGTTCTCATCTCAGCAGTTTGGGAGCCAAAACACTCAGCCATTCAGTCAAAACACTCTAAATACTAAATACCATAAAACACTACAAAAACTGCCCACGACCACAGCATGACTCTAAATTTCTAGCTGCAGGTAGAATTTCTACTTTCTGGGGACTCTAAACCTAAAGTGGGGGGAGGTCCACATGCCCTCAAGGGCCCAGGTAAGGAGAGGAGGCTGCATCCCTCCTGTCACCCTGGCGGCCTCCCCTCACCTGCAAGAGCCTCTCGGCAGAGCAGCTGGCTCGTGGCACACCGACCGCCTGCATCTCCCACTGCTCTGAAGTCTGGAGAGACCACGCAGGCAAGGCCTCTACCTTCCCACATACATTATAGCCAACGACATTAAGAGTGCCAGAGCTGTCCCTAAAGGCCTCTCCACACACATGCTGGGGCAGGCAGGGAGGGCAGCGCAGGGGGTACTTGCCATAGCTGGTGACATCTGACTTGTATTCATGGAAGTGCATGGCTCCATTTATGAAACCAAAATTGGTGCCTCCGTGGAACATGTAGAGGTTGATGGAGGAGCCAGCATTGATGATGGTGGACACCGTCTTTAAAACCTCTACAGGAGGGGAGAGACGGACACGCGGGGTGAGTCAGCATCTCAGCTAGCCACAGGTCCCTTCGCTGCCCTCGTCCTTCCAAACCCCCCCACCACCAAGGCCAGCATCCCCGCCCTGTCCGTCAGTGCTCACTAAAACCCCAATCACAGGAGACGGAGGGGAGGGAGAGAATGGGCCCTCCAGCCAGCGGCTGCTCCCCGCACCTCTCACTCAGTAGAACGGGAAGAGACGGGCTCCTCGGAAGAGATCTAATTCCGACCATCTCCCATCTCCCCTACCCTACCTTTACTAGGAAGTGAACCATGGTATGAAAAGATAATATCAATGGAGAAACATAAATAGCTACTAAGGACATGTTTTATTAATATAAATCAAAGAAATGCAAACTAAACAATGATATCTCAAACAGGCAAATATTAAAAATTATCTTAATACTCAGTATTGATGAGTGTGGGGGACATGGGTACTCTCATTTTGTAATGGTGAGTAAAAATTGCTACAATGTTTCTGGAGGGCAGTTTGGTAAATATACATGGCAGAATGTAACTAACAGCAATTCTTTTGCTTATCATAGGGAAATAATACACCAGCTGTGCAAAACCACATGTTCAAGGACATTCGCTGAAATCACATTCAATTAACAAAACTACTAGAAATGACCTATGAGACAGGGTCAATAGGTTGTGGTTAGAATGGGGTTCTTCACATGATTTAAACAGTGATATAAGTCTACATTTAGTAGTGCAGGAAGCTGGCCATAGGTGTCATTAACTGGCACCCGCAGGTGGCACACAGCACAGCATGATCGAGCCTGTCTACATCTGTGTGTGTATACAGGTAGAGGTACAGTGAACTGCCTGCATGGTATACAGCAAAATGTTCTCTCTGGGCTCTGAGATTTGTATTTCTTCTTTATACTTCTTTGTACATTTTCTGAATGTTTGTGATAGGGCATGCATTACTAATTATAAAAATATTTAAAAAGCAATGTTAAAAATCTTACCATGCACTCTAAATGACTCGAATATCAAGAGCTGACTACTTACTACACCCTACAGCTGAGCCACATCCACTGGCAGGTTATTTGAAACTGACTCTTACTTTTTAGGTTGACACATATGCTGGATGTTGGTGCCACAAAACACTCACCAGAAGAATCCAAGATATTGTGAGGGTCTCCCCACGAGTCAAACCACCCGGTCCAGTACTCCATCACCATCTTGGGCTGAATCCCCTGGGCAGCACAAAGTGACAGTCAGAAGGGCAGGCTGGCCCAAAGAGAAAGACAGCACCCCAGGACCCCTTGCCATAGAGGCCTTTGGAAGCAGAGCACAGATGGGGGCTGAACACACCTGCACTGGCTCACCCACCTTGCGCGGCTTCCACACCTGTAGGTGCAGAGCAGAAGCAGCTACAAAAGTCAATGCAATAGACCTTGATGGCTTGATGTGGTTTTAATGTTGCATACATGCTAGCAAGAAGACACTGGTGTGCTTTCTGGATCAAGCCAAGCTTTGCCTATCTCCTTCCAGGATAACTCAAGGATAACTCTCAGAGATGCTGAGAGGCACATCAGGAACACAGCACCCCCTGGGTGCTGCTTCCCTTTACGCAGAAGAGTCAGCCGCTACAGAGTAGGCCCTCCCCAAGGTCTAGCTTTCTTTAAACAGCAGTTTGCAGCAATTTTCTGAATGAGAAAATTGGGATCTTACAGCACAGCTATAAGTGCAGATTCTGCAGCCACAATTTGGACTCACACCTTGGTTAGGACACTCAACAAATGTTCTTTCAGAATACTGACTTTGCCACAGCATGGCCGCAGGGAGGCAGAGATCATTCCTGGGACCATGCTGTACTCCACCATGTCTGCCAATGCCCCAGAGCACCTGGGCGAGGTGTGAGCACTAATATGCTAGTATTTCAGGCTCTGCACTGGAGAGCCCTTCTCGTTCACTCAGTAACTGTGTATCAGGTCTGTTCTCTGTCAGCAATGGCCTTACATTTAGAAGGCAACTGTATACACAGCAACCAAATCTGATCCAGAGTCAAAGGACAAACTTGTGGTCCGCTGAGTGGAAGGCACCAGCCATACCTGGGTAAAAGCAAAGTAGTCCCAGTAATTTCTTAGCAGGACTATAGCTTGGTTTAGTTTATAAACTATCTACCTCCCAAGAAGGGAGGTGCATACTGTGCCCCATTCAAGTCACTAAAAAGGAAGAAGCATATTCTAAGTCCCACATCTCAGAAGTCTCCAGGGCCTGGAGTGGGCTCCTTGGCTTAAGGGTGCCAGGCCCAAGGAAAGTGGGTGTCTGCCATGGCCCAGGTCACTGCACTGGACAGTGGCATTAAGAGCTGGGGCTCTGCTCTCAGATGGCACTGGAATCCCTAATCCCTGCTTCCTGGGTGCTCTTGTCCATTCTGCAGCTGTCTCTGTCAGTGTCCAATGGTAACGGTAGCTAGCCCATGAGGTGAGGGGACAGCCAGGTGAGACAGGGCACATAAGCCCTCAGCACACAGTGCCTGGCAGATAGGAAGTGCTCAAGAAACACCGCTATCATTCTCTTACCCACTGGGCATGGACATTCAGGACTAGCCAGGTGCTACTGGACAGCTCAAAGTTAAGCAGACCCAGGGCCTGTGTTGTGCAATAGAGAGCTCTTGATTTAATCAAAGAAGCACCCAGGTCCCCTTCCTTACAAAAAAATAGACATCTTTGGACTGCACACAGAAAGCCCTTCAGCAGTGCCGTTCCGTTAATAGGACAACCAGCCTGGGAAGACACAGGTGTATGGCTACTGCTCCATGGATGACCGTGAGGGAACCAACCTGAGGCTTCAGCTGCATCCACTGCTGAACTGGGTGTTTTCTAAATATCACCTCGTTGAAGCCTAAGCAACCCTGTGAGTGGGTACCATGAGCAGATGACTCCCATCATCCCACTAGTGGAAGAGATGCCCAGAGAGCTTATGTAACTACCCCATCACACGCTGCAGCATGGCCAGGTGGCTGCAGGGACAGTTCACGGCATCCTGTACTTCTCTTTGGCAGCACTCAGGCTCGAGTCTACTTAATTATGGGGAAATTGTATATTTCCTATGTCTCTCTGTTCCCAAGTAGGTTATATGCCCCAAGAGGACAGAGCCCATTGTCTGAGTGACGAAGTACCACTGCTCCAGACACGGGCGGGCACTCGGGAAGTGCTGGAAGAAGGAAGGACAGAGGATGGGACTCAATCTGGACCCTTCTGGATCCCTTAACTCTCGCTTGGTCTGTCACACAGAAGTCCGCCTGGGAGCAGGGGAGCAGGTCCCATCCCGTCCCACCTCCTCGTGGGAACTTTCCCCGCCCATTCCAGCTGTCGTCTGTCATCTACGCTGCAGTAGTAGTCACATCAAACCCAGGTGGCACTCATCCTACGCGACCTCACGCTGCTGTGGTGGCTCCACGCGGACGCGCCTGAAGGCACGACCCTGGCTCTAAAAGGCCGTCAGTTGGGATGGAAAAACACTCAGAATTTCCATGGCATCTGCGCTCAGCCAATGCAGACACGCCAGCAGCTCTGCTCTCAGTCTGGGGGCCAATGTGGACATGCAACAGGTGGGCAGCTCTGGGGGCATCACACCCTTCGGTGAGCCGGGTGACGGGGCGCTGCAACTTGCCCCGGTCACATCCGTCTCCTTGGGGTAGAAACACGAACTCCAGAGAGGTCAGTCAGATCAGGAGGGCTCTGTGAATGCCCATCTGACAGACGCTGAGATACATCCAGAAACTCTTCTCTCTCTCCTCTGACCTGAAGTGGACCAGGCTTCCCGTCCTGCTGACGGCAACAATCTCTCTGGGACTGGAGGGTCCTACAGGTTAAGGTCAGACACCTACGTAGCACAGGACAGGGAAGTGTTTCTGTTCTCCCTCAGTCCCTGGTAGCAAGTTGGGCTAGTGGGCCCATAAAAGTCACGAGCTCTCCATGGTGTACCGAAGGGGCCCCTCTGTCCAGGGCAGCGAACCTCACACACACTGCATCAGGCTGCACCGCGGCACCCCCTGGCGCAGCTTCTGAGCTGCATCCCTGCAGGCACAAGGCAGCATGGGCTGGGAGCTGACAGGCTGGGACAGCCCAGAGTCCTCCTGCCTGCTCTGTGGACCCCTGAGCACAGCGACAGGCATTTGGAGTCCCTGAACAGGTGCGGAGCAGGGCCGGCAGCTTCCCTTGGGCCAGACTTACCTGGACCCTTGACAGAAGGCTGGTCAGCAGCGGCAGCTCCTGTGGCGACTGTAAGTTGACGGTGGCCAGCACTGTCCAGGAAAAGGAGAGAAGAATACTGTCGGAAAGCCACGGACTGCCTGCGTCACCCCAGCCCCCTCAGCGCACCGGCACAATGAAACAACTGGTCTGGACGCTGCTCCGCCTCCAGCTAGAGGCCAGGGTGCCTCTGGTGCCAGGAGACGCGTCTGGTCCATCTCGGAGATTCCACCACTCAGCACGGAGCTGACGCAGCGGCCACTCGTGTAGGCGTCTGTCCTTGACTCGCTGTGATTTTTACAAGCAGAGCATGCACTTCTGCTAATTATTCTTCTGTAGGAACCAGAGCCTGAACTGTACTTGGCACCCTAAGCATCCACTACAGGGCAATGACCTAGACAAAGACTTCTATTTCTTGATAAGGGCTAATCTTCCATTCTACTCTGTAATGTGTTCCTTTTAAAATAGAAAGTGCTATTTTCAGTGGTTTTCCATCAGTGAAATACATGCTCCAGTTTGTTCAATGGCCAAAGACCCCTCAGCCCACCCCAGGTGCAGAGCTTGGCCACCTGAACAGCTGGCCTCCCTGGTGCAGGCCGGGGCTAGGGCTCCAGTTGGCCTAGGAAGGCAGGACAGAGACAGAGGTGGCTCTCCTGCGGGAGGTAAATTCCCGACTAGCAGTGAGGAAACACAAGCACGGCTTGGGCTCCAGGAGGTGCAATAACTCACCTCAGGGTCACAGAGTCAGTGAAGGGCAGAGCAGAGCTACAGACACGGCCCACCTGACAGGACCATCGCCTGGTGCCGTCCCTGTGCCCCAGCCACCCACTTGATGAGACTCTGCACTCAGATCCCCCTTGCCTCAGCTGGAAGACCCTAGAAGACTGGGGCCTGCCTGAAACTGATGAGGCAGAAATCCCCAAGTTCAAGGATTCCTGAACACAGCGTCTCTTTCCTACCCTTCCCAACACCTCACGAAAACACTAGAGGATGGCCAGGAAGACAGCCACAAGAACAGGAAGGGAGAGGAGACATTAAGAAATCCCAGGAAACTGGAAAAGGACGTCAGGGCTGCAGGCAGCCCAGCAGAGCAAGAGAAGTGACAGCCACCTCCCACTGCAGCCCCAGGCCTCACCCCACTCCCAGCCCAGAGCCCTGTCCCAGCCTCAGGCCTCCTTCCCACCTGTGCCTGTCCCCTCCTCAGGGACCACACTGTCTGGGAAAGCCAGACCTGCACAGCTCCAGGCCAGGGTGAGACGGTGAGGTGGGAGGTGAAGCGTGGTATGGACAAGGGCTGTCCCAATACCAACAGCTTCTTCTCCAGACACACTCGGTAGTGCCAAGATAACATTCCCTCCTTGAAAGGGCCGCCACAGCCGTCACCCGTGGAGAAGCGCTCCCATCAGCAGCCTCGCCACACTCAGCCCCTAAGCAGCGATCACTGCCTCCTCCTCACGCTGCTCAAGAGCGGGAAACTGAGCACAACAGACAGAGCAAGCAGAACCAATGAAAAGAACAAACACGGTGTTTTTAGAAAGTAAAATATCCTCAGGGAGACATAAGAAAGACAGTATGCACTTAGTGAAAAAAAGTGTGCTCTGAGAAGAGAAATATATTCAGGAAATAACAGAAGAACTAGAAGATAAAAGTTGAGGAAGTCACCCAGAAAGTAGAACTAAAGAACAGAGAAAAAAGTAGAAAAGGTGAGAGACCTGGAGGATCGACATGAAAGTCCAGGGCACAAACAGCAGGAAGATGGGAAGGTGAGAGGAAAAGAAGGCGCAGCCTTGTCAGACAAGCGCGATGGCCCGGTGGCCTCCACGGGAGGACGGAGACCTGCGACGCACACGACCACAAGCACCCGTGAAGGTGACGAAAGCCTCGCACACACAACGTCACTGTGAAGGGCCAGAACACCAAGGACAAAAAGAAAATTCTAAAACGTTCTAGACACAGTGGGGGAGGGACGGACGAGAACGGCAGCGTGCTTCGCAGCCACGGCGGAGCAGGACGCAACGGGGCAGCGCCTTCAAAGTGCCAGGGAGGAGGACCCGCACGGGAGTTCAGTCCCGGGATAAAGCCACGCAGCAGGCCACAGGCAGATCAGAAACGCCAGAGGGAGGTCCCGGACAGCCAGAGCAGACCTGCAATGAAGGCTGATGCGTACAGGCATCTGAAAAACACCTGTGACCGGTGTTGGGAACGTCTCTGGTAAAGTATTTGTTTAACCACTTCGGTACGAGCGTCGACTATAGTCGACAGCCACAGATGAACGCGCACAGCCGAGCGTCGACGGTAGCCGACAGCTGGGATATGGAGGCGCACAGCTGAGCATTGACTTTAGCATTAATAACAAAACTTGACTTTTCTAATTTTTCATTTATCAAAATAAAATTGTGAACATTTAAAAATAACATAATGAAAACAAACGTGTATAATGTTCCCTATTCTGATTTACATTACAAGTAAAGCTGCTTGTAATGTAAAACAAGCTTTCAGTGCTTTCAAGCTTTCCTCATCACACAAGAGCAAAACACACGCGCCGTCAATGCGCAGCAGAAGCCACCGTGCGACTGCGAGTGCCGGCCGTGGGCACGGCTTCGCGGCCGTGAGCGCTGCACCGGAGTGGTTAAAAGACAAAATGGGAGGGGGTGAGGGAGAAAGGGGAAAAAGGAGAAGAGTTGAAATGAAAAGAAAAGCAAATGGGATGATGACTCTGCAGATGAAAACTAAGCACACTGAAAAGCGAGGCGTGGGCTGGCACCTGAGCAATCACCAACGCCGTGCAGGAGGTGACCTCAGGCGGCAGGCCGCAAGGAGGGATCCGCACGTGTCTGTGAAGCCTGCGCAGTCAAGACCACGAACAGCTACGCGGCAGGAAAGACGGGTGACCGCGGCAAAGAAAGCCAAGTCGCTGCTGGAGCAAGACGCCAACAGGCAGAACTGGAGGCAGCGAATGCAGAGTTCTATGTGCATGTTGTTAAGAAATATGAAGGAAAATAGCTGCAGAAAAAGTCAGAAGAGTTGAAAACGGTCATTCTGGTGAATGGGATGAGGAAGCAGGCAACACTGTGTTTCTCTGTAAGCATTTTGTATCATTTATTTTTAGTCCATGTGGATGCATTATTTTAACTAATTTTTTAATTACTTAAAATAATGAAAAAAATTCCAGGCAGCAGGTGGCACTAGGGGCACAAGGGTACTGCCTGCAGGGAGGAGGGGGCCACAGAAGGCAGCCGGCTCTGGGAGACGCCCAGCATCCTCACCCTCGCAGGGCCTGTAATCAAGAGACCGCCAAGCGCTAACAATGTGCGCCGGCATCGAAGCAGTCTCCCCTGCGTGGCCATCGCGGGCCCAGGCCTGCGCCAGGGCGTGGACACAGCCACGGGGAGGCAGTGCCACCGCGTGGACAGAGCGGGAATTGCTGCTGGCCCTTGCCCTGAGATGCAGGCTCTGGTCCCTTGGCCAACTTGCTCTGCCTGGGGACAAGAGCCTTCTCTTCCCCATTCATCCAACAGTCACGCCCTGAGCCACACGCCAGGCACGGCTGCAGGACTCAGAGATAGAAGTCTCCGTCTTCAAGCAGCTCAGGCTATGGAGACAAATGCAGAAGAGCACAGAGAAGGACACGCTGTGGCGCAGCGCAGGAGTCCACGGGAGGCCCCGCCGCAGCCCATAGGAGGGCGCTTCAGGTTTTCAGTCCACAACCCAGGTCTGTGCGTGGGAGCACAGCCTGACAAGGCAGGCAAAGCCCAGCCCCCACAGGGAATACACTACCCCGAATGTCAGAAGGCAAAAGGCAAGCTGGGAGAAGACTAGGGAGTCATGGGAGAAGTGCTATTCCACATGGGCACTCAGAGGAAGCCTCCCTGTGATGGGAAATGACCTCGGCAGCCCCGCTGCTCTCTGGAAAGAGAGCAAAGACCCCAGGGCTCGGGTCAGTGTATGCCAGGAACAGCAGTGGGGGCCAGGAGGGTGGGACAGAGTGGGCAAAGTGGGAGCAGCAGCAGGTGAGCTCAGCTGGCCCGGATGCCAGTGGGGATGCCCTCTGGGTCTTTCTCGGAACCTGCACTTCACTCTGAGCTGGGGACACCTGGAGTTCGAGTGGGGAAGTAAGATAATCCGGGTGACATTTTCCAAGGCACGCACACACAGGCTGCTGTGTTGGGAAGAGTTGTAGAGGAGTCCCTGAATAAAAGGGAGGTCAGCCCACATGCTACTGCAGCAACGTGAGCGAGGAACGGTGTCTCGAGTGAGGTGGCGAGATGGGTTTGGATTCCGGATGTATCAGGAAGTTAGAGCTCAAGATAAAAAGGATGTGATGGCAGCGGCTGTGCCGAGCACAGGGGAGTGGAGGGCTGAGAGAGGCAACAAGCTTTGGGGCCTGCGCAGTTGAGGCAAAACGGCGGCAATTTCCTGGCAGTAGGAAGCCTGCAAGCAGGCAGTGACCTGCAGAGCGCTGTCAGCGCCCGAGTGCCCGGCAGGGGGGGAGCCCAGCCGCAGGGCTGACCGGGGCCCCTCCGTCTCTGGCGGCTCTCCAGCCCTCTGCAGTCCAGGACCCCGGCCCAGTGCACCAGGGATAGTCCTGCTTGTGTCTCAACCCCGCCCCGGGGAGTGCACGGCCGGCAGGCAGCTGCCTCCCCACACGCCTGCCCGCAACTACCTCCGCGGATGAGTCCCTTGCTCAGGCCATCCTTGTTGTCTGAAGTCAAGAGCAGCTCCACAATCCCGCGGTCCTCCAAGGCCTGTGGGGGGAAATAAGATAAGTCATGGTCTGCCTCACTCCTCAGAGCTTCTGCAGTGTCACACAACTGGGGATGGGGTAGCCTGAAAAGAGGGAGAGATTCTAAATAAAGCATTTATTTCTCTGTGGAAAATAGAAAAAACCCCATCTGTGCCTGCCATACTCAGCAGAACCCCAAACAGCTGAATTCCAGCCACGTCAGGGACGAGGTGGCCCTCAGTCATCCCAATCTAGCAAAATGCCGGCCTGGCTGGTTTGCTGTTCCTCGGGGAGCCCGCAGCTACACCATGCCCCAGAGACGGTGCTGGGCTCCAGCAGGGGGACGGGGCAGGCCTCTGGGACAACACCCACACCTTCCCTTCACCCACACCATGAGCAGGCAGCCCGTCCCTTCCCCATGCCGAGCAGCAAGGCCTGGGCAACAGCCATGTCCGGTCACGGCCCAGGTGCGCCCCAGGCCAGAGGAGCTGGAGGCTGTGCTTCAGCCGGGGAGGAAGCGCAAGAAACACACTGCGCTCCAGCAGCAATGACGGCTGCTACGCTCAGAATAACCACTGACATTTATGGAGAATTTACTACCGTGCCAGGCCTTACACAGACTGTCCCATTTGATCTTCATGATTAATATCGTAATAACCGAAGAGGAGGCTCAGCGAGGCTGACTCAGGTGTCACGGGTTGCAGAGCTACAGAGAGCATGGGCCTGAACCCAGAGCCCATCCTCTTTCAAAGGCTCTGCTCTGGGGCTCTGGGCTCTTTCGCATCAGAAACCCTAGCAAAGGGGGTGGACCTCCCTCTAATTTCCTCTCCAGATATATGACAAAACTGTTTATTTCAACTGAATTCTTTTGGACACTGGGGTGGCAGAGAGATAATCTGGTGGGTGGGTGAACAAAGCTCATGTCTAACCCCACGTGCTGTAAGGAACCAGGTGGGGGGCTGCAGTTCTCAGGCATGAAACACACTGCAGAGTTTAGTCCACGAGGGGAGACTGTTATCAAAAGCCCTAGATCTACTGCCTCACAACTATCTAACTCATGTTGGGGCTCAGAACACAGTACCCTGGGATGAAGGCCTCAGAAGCAGCCTCAGAAGCAAAAGTTTTCCTCTCAACTTCCCCTGTCCTCCTGTCTCGCAGTCCCACTCTTCCCTGAGGCTAGCTATAAGAACTAGAATCCCTCTTCCCCAAGGAAGCCATGGAAACCACAACCCTTTTTCTCAAAATCTAGCCATAAAACCTAAAATTGTTCTGTGTAAAATTGGCCATAAAGAAGCTATCTGACCTACCTTGTTTGACTGTAGGTCCTAAGACCTCCATTCCTGAGAGGGCCCTGCCCACGCCCAGAGGAAGGAATGCCGCTCAGAGAGGCCAGGAAGAATCCAGACAGACAGGCCTTGCTGGGTTCCCCACTCAGTCTGTTAGCATTAGCTCATAACCTTTTTGTCCAATCATATTTCTACATGACTGTCCACATTCTGTTGAACCTAAGCATAAAAATGGGCAATTCCCCCTGTATCTTTGGGTCTTCATTCTAAAGGCTTCCTTGTACACATGTTAAATAAATTTATATGACTTTTCTCCTATTAATCAATCTGCCTTATGTCAGTGATTTTTTCAGTGAAGTTTTTGGGGGCAAAGGGCCTTGGTCCCTACACTAATGATTCACTGATATTTAACGAGCATTCACATGGCTTCCTACTATATATGCATACACTTATCTTTTCCTGGGCACTGGTGTGTTGACCCCACCCCATAAGGGATAAATACCATTTCCCCAGACACCAGCAGTCCGCCAAGTGCTGCCAGGGGCTTTGTGCCTGTTATCTCACACTGTCTCACGCGGCCTTAGAGAAATGCATTCTTGTCTCCCCTGTCGCATGATGAAACTAAGACCCAGAAAGGTGACGTGACTTGCCCAAGGTCATTCAATACTGGAACTGCTACTTCTCTTTGTCCACCTGAGACACATGGGTACCTTTGCCCCAAACCAGGGAAGCGTGACTGAACGGGCCAGGTCCTTGAAGGAGCCACTGCTCCTCTCTGTCTGCTCAGCGGAGCTCCACTTCTCTACAGCTGAGTAATTCAGTCACAACTGCTGGAGAAGCCCCAGCAGCTGAGAGAATCTGAGAGAACCAGATGTCGCAGGAGAAGCTCTCGACTCCTGTGCTTCAAAGACGACGGGAAACCAGAGGTGTCCCCTAATTCCGACTCTGGCTGGGCTTGGCCATCAGGACTGAACTTGCTCCTTTCCAGCTAGAGGAATGCCACCCTCTGGACACAGCCTTGTCCCCTACTAAGAGAGCTTTCTGCAGGTGGGAAGAAGGATAAGAACCTGCAAGCTGGAGTGTTTGAGCCTCAGTATCATCTCTAAGAACTGAAATGATTTCCAAATGGAAAATGACTGCACATGACACAGAAAAGACGCTGCCCAGGGTTTCAAGGGGCAAAGCTGTCCCGCCTTCAATCAGGTGGATTCACTGAGGCTGCTTAACATGTCCTCAGCTCACACCACAGCCAGACCTCCTGGTACGCCGAAGTGATGCCATGGATGCTGTCACGGGGCTGTGGACTGACAACTTACTGTGTACCTAGAACCGCAGCAAGCTGCATGATCCCACATAATACTCACAATTCAGAGAGGCAAATACTCTCATTAGCTCTACTTTATAGAAGAGAAAAAAGAGGTTTAGAAAAATCAAAGCATTTGTTCAAGGTCTTAGCTACTAAGTGACAGAAACCAGATCTATTAGCCTGTTTTTTTAAGTTACTCTGCCCTTCCCTGATTTACTGTGTATTAAATCCATGGTTCTCAACTTCCCCCACCCACTGGAATCAGATGTCTGAGACCACTCCAGAGATTCTTATTTAATTGGTGTGGTGTGTGGCCTCAGCACAGGGATTTTTTTAAGCTCTCCAGGCAAAGCCAATGTTCAACCAAGGATGAGAAGCACTGATTTGGGTGCTGGAATGAGAACAGCCTCTCCAAAAAGTCTTCCCTAATCATCACTATTCAATCGAGCTAATTTCCTTATTCTTGGCCCCTGACACCAGATGTGTACTACAATCCCAAAGTAAACTCAGTCAATAAAAGGTAAATAAGTGATAACCCTGTTGAAATAAGACAATGGAGAAAGATTCAGTGATTAATAAATGGTGTCTGGAGATGTGCTATTAATATGAGAAAAATATTAGAGCCACACGTCACAATATAGCCCATAATACACTGCAGAGGAAGGAATATAACAAAGGACCGTAGCTGACTCTTACCTTCTTGATGTAAGGCATATACGCAGGGTCCTTGTCATAGGAGCCATATTCGTTCTCCACTTGCACAGCAATGATGGGTCCCCCATGCTTGTACTGGGGAGAAGAGGTGAACACTCAGAAGTTGAGTTTCTAGTGGGAACTGGATGATCTAAATTCATTAATTACTACAACATAACCCCTTTGAAAAAAAAAGTCTCAAAAAGTTTGGTATATAATTGAGAGTGATGTCAGTAAGACAGTGCAGTAGGAAGCACCAGGCCCTCATTCTCCCATGGAAACATCAAAGAAACAACTACAGATGGACTAAAATAACTTTATAGGAGCTCTGGCAACCACCCAAAGATCTAACCAAACAGGTGAATGCCCAATCAAAAAAAAAGCCACATGCAAAATGGTGGGAAATTTTATGTTTTACTTGTACTTGCCCCACCCCTCCTCAGTGTAGCACGGGGTGGTCAGGAGGAAGTGTGCTAATTCCCAGCTCCCTCCCTCAGGATAAAAGCACAAAATAGGACTTGTTCACAATGTTCTGGCTTGTCTATGCACTGCCCAGTGGACTGGTTTCTGTCTCATCTGATGTGGAGCTCAGACAGGAAACATCAGCGTAATTTGGACCTTGGTCTGGAAGCTGCAAAAGCAGCGGCAGGTGCCACAGCATGTGAAAACTGCTGGGGGTCTACGAATTTGTGGATGGCTGGGGGCAAGGAATTATGGGCAGAAGAATATGACAGAACATCTAAGGACCCAAGAAGCTGAGATGAGACATTTACTTATTTATTTTTATTTCAGCATATTATGGGGGTACAAATGTTTAGGTTATGTGTGTGGCCTTTTCCCTTCCCCCCTGGACTCAGAGCTTCAAGCATGTCCAACCCCCCGATGGTGCGCATCGCACTCATCGCGTATGTGTATACCATCCCCTCCCCCTCCATCTGTCTGACACCTGATAAATGTTATTCCTATATGTCCACTTAGGTGTTGATCAGTGGAACCAACTTGCTGGTGAGTACATGTGGTTCTTATTTTTCCATTCTTGGGATACTTCACTTAGTAGAATGGATCCAGTTCTATCCAGGAAAATACAAGAGGTGCTATATCACCATTGTTTCTTAAAGCTGAATAGTACTCCATACATAAACCACATTTAATTAATCCACTCGTGTATTGATGGGCACTTGGGTTGTTTCCACATCTTTGCAATTGTGAATTGTGCTGCTAAAAACATTCGAGTGCAGATATCTTTTTTATACTGTCTTTTGTTCTTTTGGGTAGATGCCCAGTAATGGGATTGCTGGATTAAATGGTAAATCTACTTGTATCCCTTTAAGGTATCTCCATATTGCTTTCCAGAGTATGCACTAATTTGCAGTTCCACCAGCAGTGTAGGAGTGTTCCTTATCTCTCCACATCCACGCCAACATTTATTGTTTGGGGACTTTTTGATAAAGGCCATTCTCACTGGAGATAAGTGATATCTCATTGTGGTTTTGATTTGCATTTCCCTGATGATTAGAGATGTTGAGCATTTTTTCATATGTTTGTTGGCCATTCTTCTGTCTTCTTTTGAGAAGTTTCTGTTCATGTCCTTTGCCCACTTTTTGACAGGGTTGTTTTTTTCTTGCTGATTTTCCTGAGTTCTAAACAGATTCTAGTCATCAGCCCTGTATCGGATGTGTAGCATGCGAAAATTTCTCCCATTGTGTAGATTGTCTGTTTGCTCTCGTAACAGTTTCTTTGGCTGTGCAGAAGCTTTTTAATTTGATCAGGTCCAATTTATTTATTTTTATTGTTGCTGTGCTTGCCTTTGGGGTATTCTTCATAAATTCTTTGCCTAGGCCAATGTCTAGAAGAGTATTTCCAGTGTTTTCCTCTATAATTCTGATAGTTTCACACCTTAGGTTTAAGTCTGTTACCCAGCGTGAGTTGATTTTTGTGAGAGGTGAAAGGTGTAGCTCCTGTTTCAGTCTTCTACATGTGGCTATCCAGTTTTCCCAGCACCATTTATAGAATAAGGATTTTTTTCCCCCAGTGTATGTTTTTGTCTGCTTTGTCAAAGATTAGATGACTATATGAGGATGGTTTTATATCTGGGTTCTCGGTTCTGTTCTATTGCTCAATGTCCCTGTTCTTGTGCCAGTCCCAAGATGTTTTAATTACTATAGCCTTGTAGTATAGTTTGAAGTCTGGTAAATTGATACTTCACATTTTGTTTTTGTTGCCTAGTATTGCTTTTGCTATATGGGGTCTTCTCTGGTTCTATACAAAGCGTAAAATTATTTTTTCTGTATCTGTGAAAAATGATGATGGTATTTTAATAGGAATTTCACTGACTCTGTAGATCACTTTGGGTAGTATAGATATTTTAACAATGTTGATTCTGCTGATCCATGAGCATGGTATGGTTTTCCACCTCTTGATGTCCTCTGCTATTTCCTTCCTCAGTGTTTCATAGTTCTCCCTGTAGAGGTCTTTTACCTCCTTAGTTAGATAGATTCCTAGGTACTTTATTTTCTTTGTTGCTATTGTGAAGGGTATTAAGTCTTTGATTTGGTTCTCAGTTTGACTGTTATTGATGTATATGAATGCCTCTGATTTGTGTGTATTGATTTTGTATGCTGAGACTTTCCTGAATTCATTTATCAATTCAAGGAGTGAGATGAGACATTTAAAAGCAGCCATGGGGTTTAAAAAAAAAAAAAAAAAAAAAAAGCACATATACAGATATAGATAGGACACATGCCCATAAAAAGATCTAAGATCTTAAGTCTTCACCCTGGGCTAATCTCTAGACTCAGGCCCACTAATTAGTGAAAGTTTTCCCTGCCAGTCTGCAAAGACAGAAAGAGCTGTTTTTTTCTTTTTCAAATGCCCAACATTCAATAACAACAAAAAACAACACATACAAAGAAACAGGGAAATCTGACTCATTCAAATGAACAAATCTCCAAAAATAGTCTCTGAAGAAACACACATACTCGACTTAGTAGAAAAATATTTTATACAACTTTTGAAAATATTATCAAAGAGCTAAAGAAAAAAACTACCAAATAACTACAGAGAATCATAAAAAGAATATATGAACAACATGAGAATATCAACAAAGAAATAGAAATTATTAAAAAAAAAGAAGCAAATAGAAAATCTGGGGCTGAAAATTATAATATCTAAATTTAAAAATTCACTAGAGGAGTATAACTGCAAACTGAAACAGGCAGGAGAAAGACTAAGTGACGCTGAGGATAGGTCATTTATAATCATTGAGTCTGAGGAGCAAAAATGAAAAAAAAAAAAAAAAAAGACCGGTGCAACACCAGTAAGCAGACCAATATAATCATTCTGGGAATCCCAGGAGGAAAAGGGAAAGAGAGATTATTTGAAGGAAGAAATAATGGCTTAAAGCCTCTCAACTTCAAGAAAAGACATGACTACATGAATCTAAGAAGCTCAATAGACTCCAAGGAGGACAACCCAGAGAGCCACACAGTGACACATTATAATAGAACTGTTGAAAGACAAAAACAAAGAGAGATTCTTGAATGCAGTAGGAGAAAAGTAACTTGTCACATACAAGGGATCCTCAATAAGACTATAAAGGATATCTCAGCAGAAACTTTGCAGGCCAGAAGGCAGTGGGATGATATAATCAAAATGCTCAGAGAAAACAATAAATGTGTCAACTGAAAATTCTATACCCAGGAAAATTTTCCTTCAAAAGTGAGGAAGAAATTAAGATACTCACAGACAAAGAAAAGCTGAGGGAGTTCATTATCACTAGATCTGCCTTATAAAAAAATGCCTCAAGTTGAAATGAAAGGATGCTGTACAGTAACTTGAAGCTATATGAAAATATAAAGTTCTCTAATAAAGGCAAATATTTGAAAAATATATAAAGCATTATTATAATTTTAGTTTATAATGCAACTTATGTTCTATAAGATTTAAAGGACAAATGCATAAAAATAATTATCAATGTAATGTCATACATAAATACATAATTTGTAACATCAGTATAAAGTAGAAGAGCAGAACTATAAAGGAATAAAGTTTTTATATGCAATTAAAGATAAGTTGACATCCATTTAAGATAGAATGTTACAACTTTAGAATATTGCATGTAATCCCATGGTAAACACAAAGAAAATATCTATAAAATATACACAAAATGAATTTAAAAGGGAATCACCATAAGAAAGTATCACTATAAAAAAAACAACTGGACACAAAGGAAGGCATTAATGGAGGAAATGAGGGATGAAAAAGCTATAAGACATATACAAAAAAACAAAATGGCAAAAGTAAGTGTTTCTCTATGTATGAGTAATTACTTTAAATGTAAATGGATTAACCTCCTCCCCCAACTGTAATCAAAAGACATACACTGGCAGAATGGATACAAAACAATATCCAACTATATGCTGTCTATAAGATACTCACTTTAGATCTAAGGGTACACAAAGGTTGAAAGCAAAAGAATGGAAAAGATATTTTATGCAAACACTAACCAAAAGAGAGTAGGGATGGCTTTACCAATATCAAACAAAATGGACTTTATACCAAAAACTTTTACAAGAGGAAAAGGAAAGATATAATATTTATAATGATAAAAGGGTCAATTCACCAAGAATATATAACAATTATAAACATATATGCACTAAATACTAGAGTTCCAAAGTATGTGAACCAAACTGACAGAATTATAGGGAGAAATATAAGGTGGCTCAACAACAATAGTAGTGTAGTTGACTAAACATCCCACTATCAATAATGTATAGAACAGCTACACAGAAAATCAATAACAAAATAGAGGACTTGAACAACACTATGGACTAACAGATATATATATATACAATACTCCATCCTAAAACAGCACAATATGTATTTTTCTCACAGGCACATAGAACACTCTCCAAGACTCTCCAAGTCTCCAAGATAGAGTATGTTAGGCCACAAAACAAGCCCTAATAAATTTAAAAGATTGAATTTATACAGTTTCTTTTCCAATCATAATGGAATAACACTAGAAATCAATAAGAAAAGGAAAACCAAAAATGCAAATATGTGGAAATTAACACACTCTTAAATAACCAATGGCTCAAAGATGAAATCATAAGAAAACTAGAAAATATCTTGAGACAAATGAAAGTGAAAACACAACAAATTTATGGGATGAAGTGAAAGCAGTGCTAAGAGAAAATTTTAAAGCTGTGAATATACTTAAAGGATGAAAGGTCTCACACCAATAACTTAACTCTATACCTTAAGAAAGCAGAAAAAAGGGAAAACAAACTACACTCAAAGGTGGCAGAAGGAAGAAAATTACAAAGATTAGAGCAGAGAATAAAAAGAGAATACAAAAATAATTCTTAAAAAGTAACAAAATCAAGATTTGGTGCTTTGTAAAGATCAACAAAACTGACAAACTTTCAGCTAAACTGACTAAGAAAAAATGATAAAAGACTCAACTAAAATCAAAAACAAAATAGGGGATAGTATTACTGATTTTATGGCAATAAAAAGAGAAAAATATGCACAATTGTACATCAACAAATTGAATAACCTAGATTAAACAAATTTCTAGAAACATACAATGTGCCAAGACTAAATCATGAAGAAAGAGAAAATCTGAATAGACCTATAACTAGTAAGGAGATTGAATGGGTAACCAAAAATCTCAAACAAAGAAAATCCCAGGCCCAGATGGCTTCGCTGTTAGATTCTACCAAATATTTAAAGAAGAATTAACACCAGTCCTTCTCAAATTCTTCCCAAAAATTGAAGGGGAGAAAACACTCCTTATTCTGTGAGGCCAGAACTACGAAACCAGACAAAGACACTATAAGAAAACTAAAAACTAATATTCCTTATAAATATTGATACAAAAATCCTCAACCAAGTATTAGCAAAATGAATTCAGCAGCATATTAGAAGAATTATTAACAACATAAACAAGTGGGATTTGTTCCTGGAATGCAAGATTGATTTGACATACAAAAATCAGTCAAAGTAACACACCATATTAACAAAATGAAAAAAATTGATGATCTCAATTGATGCAGAAAAAACATTTTACAAAATTCAACACTTTTTCATGATAAGAAACACTCAACAAACCAGGAATTGAAGGAATTACCTCAACATAATAAAGGCCATTATGAAAAGCCCATAGCCAACATCATACTCAATGGTGAAAGACTGAAAGCTTTTCCTCCTAAGATCAGGAACAAGACAAGGATTCCTGTTTTTGCCACTTCTTTGCAACATAGTACATGCAGCCCTAGCCAGAGCAATTAATCAAGAAAAATAAACAAAATCCATCCAAATTGTTAAGAAAAAAGTACTCTCTGTTTGCAGACATTATTTTAAATGTATAAAATCATAAAGATTACACATACACACACAAAAATTATATAGCTAATGAATCCAGCAAACTTGCAAGATACAAAATTAATACACACAAATCAATTCTGTTTGTATATACTATCAATGAACATTTATATTTATAATAGCATTAAAAATAATAAAATACTTAGAAATAAATATAACCAAAAAGGTACAGAAAACTATAAAATGATGCTAAAAGACTATAAAGAAGACACCAATAAAAGGAAAGACATCCTGTGTTCATAGATTGGAATACTTCATATTATTAAGAAGTCTATTCTACTCAAAGTGATCTACAGACTCAATGCAATCACTATCAAAATCTCAAAAATGTTTTTGCTGAAATAGAAAAGCTATCCTAAAATTCAGGGGGCCTCTCAAGGGATACTGAATAGCCAAAACAATGCTGAAAAAGAACAAAGTTAGAGGTCTCACATTTCCTGATTTCAAAACTTACTACAAAGCTGCAGTAATCAAAATAGTGTGATACTGGCATAAAGACAGACATATGGTGAATTTTTTTTTCTTTTAGAGAAGAGGTCTCACTCTGTTGCCCAAACTAGAGTAAATGATCATAGTTCACTGTAATCTTGAACTTCTGGGTTCAAGCGATCCTCTTGCCTTAGCCTCCCTAGTAACTGGGACTATAGTAGGTACACAACACCACGCTCAGCTAATTTTTTTCATTTTTTTGAGACAGGGCCTCGATATGTTGCCCAGCCTGGTCTTGAACTCCTGGTTTCAAGTGATCCTCTCACCTCAGGCTTCTGAGTCATTGGGATTACAAGCATAAGCTACCACACCTAGCTCTGGTCAAATGATTGTTGACAAGGGTGTCAAAGCCATTCAAAGGGGAAAAGTCTTTCTAACAAATGATGGGAAAACTAAATATTCACGTGCAAAAGAAAGTGAACTTAGATTCTTGCCTTGCACCATTTATAAAAATTAACTCAAAATGGATGAAAGACCTGAACATAAAAGCTAAAAGTACAAAACTCCAAAAAGAAAACATAAGAAAAAAGTTTCATGACCTTGGATTTGGCAATGATTTCTTAGATACGGATCCAATAGCAAAGACAACAAAAAATAAATAAATATATTGGACTTAATCAAAATTAAAAACTTTTGTGCATAAAAGGAAAAGGCAACCCAGGGAATGAGAGAAAATATTTGCAAATCATAGATCAGGTAAGGAATTGATATCCAGAATATATAAAGAATTCCTAAAACTCAACAACAACAAAACAAAAAAACTAGGTTCAAAAATGGGAAAAGCATTTGAATAAATTTTTCTCCAAAGATATATAAATGACTAATAAGCACATGAAAAGATACTAAACATCACTCGTCATTAGGGAAATGCAAACCCAAACCACAATGAGATACTACTTTACACCTATTAGGAAGGCTCTCACCAAACAAACAGAAAATAACAAGTGTTGGTAAGGATGTGGTGGAATTGGAATGCTTGTGCATTGCTGGTAGGAATGTAATCTGGTGCAACTTCTGTGGAAAACAGTATGGCAGTTCCTCAAAAAATTAAACATAGAATTACAATTCAATTTAGCAATTTCACTTCTAGCTATATTTGCAAAAGAAGTGAAAGCAGATACTCAAAAAGATTTATACATCCATGTTCACAGAAGCATTCTTCATGGTGACCAAAACATGGGAACAACCCAAGTGTCTGTCGATGGATGAAATAGATAAACAAAATGTGGTGTATACATACAGTGGAATATTATTCAACCTCCAAAAGAAAGGAAATTCTGACACATGCTACAACCAGGATAAATCCTGAGATTTATCCTATGCCAAGTGAAATAAGCCAGTCACAATACTGTGCTTCCATTTATATAAGGTAGCTAGAAAAGTCCAATTCATAGGGACAGACAGCAGAACAGTGGTTGCCAGAGTCTACAGGAAGGGAAGAATGGGGAGTTCAGTGGGTACAGAGTTTTAATTGGGAAGATGGAAAAGGTCTGGAGATGGATGGTGGTTACAACAGACTGAATGTTTGTGTTCCCCCAAAATTCATATGTTGAAATCCTAACCCCAATGTGATGGTGTTGAGAAGTGGGACCTTTGGGAGGTGATCAGGTCATGAGGGTGGAGCCTCCATGAATGGAATTAGTGCCCTTATAAAGGAGACCCCAGAAAGCTCTCTAGCTGCCATGTGAAGATACAGCAAGAAGACAGCCATCTGTAGCCTGGAAGAGAGCCCTCACCAGACACCAAATCTGCCAGTGCCTTGATCTTGGACTTCCAGCCTCCAGAACTGTGAGAAATAAATGTCTGTTGATTGTAAGCCACCCAGGCTGTGGTACTTTGTTACAGTAGCCCGAACTAAGATTGTGGTGATAGTTGCACAACAACATGAATGTACTTAATGCCACTGAACTATAAACTTAAAAATGGTCAAAATGGCAAGTTTTATGTTAGTTCTTTACTACAATAAAAACAAATGAAATAAAATAATATGTCATACGGGGGTGGGGGGAAGCCTTGGTATTCCATTTCCATGTCTATGAGTGCCTCAAAGCCACTTTCCCAGAGTGGCCTTCCCCACTGTCCCCCACCCACCTCGGGCACTGGCCCCTGCTGCTATAACCTGCTGAATCATGTCTGCCACCCCATCTTCCCTGCACAACCTTGGCTAAAAACTTCCCGGCTACTTGATTCTTTCAAGACTAGGGCTGTCAGATTTAATAAATAAAAACACAGGACAACCAGTTAAATTTAAATTCACAATGAATAACTGTTTTAGTGTAAGCATGGCCCATACAATATTTGGGATATATTTATACCCAAAAAAAGTAATGCTTGCTTATCTGAAATTCAAACTTAACTAGGTATCTTGTGTTTTATGTGACAGTTCCCTTTATGTGTGCAGAGTCAAACTACTGACTTAAGGGCAATTTTCACTGATGTACTCATCTTTTATTGAGGTACTAATTTCTCAGAGTCACTCTTCATGTTTTTTTTTTATTTTAGCGTATTATGGGGGTACAAGTGTTAAGGTTACTTATATTGCCCATGCCCCCTCCCCCTTCGAGTAAGAGCTTCAAGCATGTCCACCCCCAATTCATGTTTTTATACAAGCAACTGGATTGTTTTTACCATTCCTGATTTTTTATTGATTTCAACTATTATGTTCAAATACGTTCCCCCTAAAATTTATTTTAACACATACGTTTTCAACAGCAAATGTATATCATACATCACCCTTTTGGTAGCAGAGGAAAGTACCTTGAAAAGTTATCAACTAGAATTTTGTAATTTACAAGAAGAATTTACAAAAAGTTCTTCTGTCTTTTACACATGGGCTGATCCATATATGCTCCTCTCTGTGCAGAACTGAGCCACTGTACTACTGGGACACTGACAGACAGGTATTCTCAGTTATCAAGACAACCCTGTCTACCCATTGCAAGGGCAGCTCCAGCACCGCATGAAGCCACGTGAGCCTTACACTTGTCTGTCCTTTCAGCATTGCACCCACCTGAGACAACACTGAAACACACAGATCTTTCAAAGACAACTACTGCAAGCCCTTCCAACTGACTGCAATCTCGGTCAAGGGGGAAATGTGTGTTCCTTTGCTGAAAAAAAAGTGGGAAGACAGATGAGGATCAAAGAAGAGTTGCTTTGCTTGTACCTGGAGTGGCACCACCCTGGACATCAGGTGATCAAAATAAAGGTCCACTGCTTTGGTGAAGCCCTGGTAGGTTGTTCTCAGCCTCATGCCAGGGTCTTGGAGTAGCCAGCTGGGAGCGAAAAGGAAGGGGAGAGGATATTAGTGTCACGACCGTGGGTTTTCTATGGCCGGCTGGTGGTGGAGTGCTTAGGAATGACCCGTTCCCACCCCCACCTCACTCAGCCTGGATTTGGGAGACTGTACAAACTAATGTGTGCAGCCACCACCTGCACTCCTGGGTCTTTCTGTCCCAAAGACACAGCCTGCAGGGAAGCTCCTTTCCAGCTTCACGGGTACAGGGCTGGCTGCCAGGCAGGGAGAAAAGCTTTTCCCAGCTCCAGTTTTCAAGCATTTATTCTACAATCCCAGTGCAAAGGGGGAAGGTAAAAGGATTAGGCATCACTGGGGCTGGAGAAGGACACAGACACAGCCTTCCAGCATCAGCCACAAACACAAGCCTGACAGGGAGGCTGCCAGGAGCTGCCCAGGGTCTAGCTGCTGTCCACGCCAGCACACTGACTCCTGGCATTGCCCCTACCGGCTACGCAGGGCTCTTGCTCCAGCCTGTCTGTCGTGATCCAGCCCGCCCAGAGGACCACAACACCACGGAGTGGTTCCCCAGCTGGAGTCAAAGGACCTCTTCTCATGTGAAGTTCTGAGAAAACACTCACATTTTCTAATGGAAGGCTCTGGGACACCCTGGCTCTGATCTGGGAGTCCTGAACAGAGCCAGGGAATTATCCAGTTAATGTTGGTAAAACAACAGATGAGGAGCAAGCAGTTTCCTCCAGACCGACGCCTGCACTTTCTGTTTCGCATCAAAGGGGGCAGGTTTCTCCCAGGGTGTGCCCCACAGGCCCCTCTCATGAACGGGCAGGTGCCACAGCGGGGGGTGCGGGGTCTGAGTGCCAGCGCTCCCCTCTGCTTCTGAGCTAAGACCATTAAACCCTGTTGTCCTCCTGTCCCGGCTCCAGCTGAGCCGGAGGAAATCGCTGACAGTGGCACAAAGATCGCTAATCCAAGGGGAAGGGAGGGCATGGCGTTCTGGCTGTGTTCGCAGCCTTGTCCAGGGCATGACTGCCAGCGAGGAACCAGCCCTGGGGATGGAGGACCTGGAGCAGACGCTGTGGCCCCGAGGGCAGGTCGCGCTGGAAACAAGGAGGAAAACAGGAGCGCAGGGGGAACAGCATCAGCATCTCCCCCTTGGGGCAGCGCGGGGTGGGAGCCTGGTCTAACAGTGAGAAGGGAAAGATTATGCCCATTCACAAGGAAATCTTCCTGGCAGTGATGATGAGGGTGAGGAATGAATGTGGTCCCAACTCACTCCTGACCAGATTTCCTGTCCAGCCGCAGAATACTGTACCCACATCAGCCAAGGCTACACCCAGCGAGAGTGTTAGCTAGCGCCTGGGATGTGCAGATGAAACAATAAGCGCAATTCGTTTCTCTCATACTCTATCAAAACACTTGGACTCTTCAAAACATGCTTAATAACATCCCCCAAAAATACACAGAGCAGGGCTGGTTTGCCCCTTCTGAAGACAGGTCCACAGCAGACATGACCCGCCAGGGGTCCCAGCTCCACAGCAGAGCCTGGAAGAATGAAATCCCTCTGGGGGGCTAACCCTTCTCCTGCTGTCTGCCACACAAAGAAATCCGCATGACTTTACTAGGGCAGTAACTGCAACAGCATCCAAAATGACCCCCTTGGGTACCACTTATTCTGAAAAGGAAATTCAGTACAGAATGAAAACTAATTTAAAAGCAAAACTAGACCTATGTCTGTAAGCATTTGGCACCAGCACACAGGACCCTCAAGCCACACTGGAGCCCCTCAGCCCACGTACCTGGGCAAGCCCCCGAGGTCGACCTCGCTGCAGATGTAGGGGCCTGGACGCAGGATCACCCACAGCCCAATCTCCGCAGCCGTCAGGACAAAGGCCCTGGGGAGGGAAGCGAGTCCGCGCCTGCCGTGTCCGTCCAGGGCAGAGGCCGCGGGTGGAGCCCAGCTCCTGTCCTCGTCCCTCTCTCACCCAGGCAGACTGACCGGGCGTAGGCCAGGCTCCGCCAGGCCAGCACGGCAGGGAGTCCCACACCAGGCCTGAGGCCACGGCTGCTCCCAGCCTCACGCCATCCGCACAGCCCATCGGGGTTAACAGTGAACCTGACCCCAACGGCCCCGCTCCCCTAGAGAGGCAGCCCCGTCCCAGCACAGGTGCTGCACCCCTGCAGAGTCGAGCGGCACCCGGGGCCTCAGGCCCCTCTGGGCTGCCGTGGAGAGTGGGGCCAAGGCTGCAGCCCAGCCCCGTGGGGTGACAGGTCTCGCCTGGGGAGTGCTGGGTCCTGCGTACAGGGCCTCTCGCAGGGTCCTGAGAACAAGGCTCCATGCGCAGGCCCCTCTCTGGTTCTCTACAGTCCCTACTCCACCCGAGCAGCCACCTCTCTGCGCCCGCCCGGCCAGGTCACAGAGGCGGCAACACCACGTACTCCAGGTCCAGGTTCCCAGAGAAGTCAAATCTGCCTCTCTCTGGCTCGTGCAGGTTCCACGGAACGTAGCTGTAACAAAAGAGATAATTACAGGCAGGAGCTTGTCATTCTTTCCACTTTAACCTCCCAGATTAGCTTCTTTATCCTTAAACCCAGTATGACGGCTGCAGATGTGTTCTTATGACTTTAGGACTGGAACTGACTGAACAGAATCCAGGCCAGCCCGGCGGGACTAATGTCTTTTTGCAGAAGGGGAGAAGGTCAACAGGTTTGGGGTCAGCTCTGTGACCCCAGGTCAGCCTGCCATCCCCACTCCCCATTAGAGAAGAAGAAGTGACTTTATTGGAAGAGGAAACCTTAGTTATCAGTCCTGTCCTTCACTGAAGCAGCCAGAATTCCAAAACCTGCTACAAGATGGGGGTTCTAACTCTAAAGAGAAGATAAGGAGATGAAGTAGGCTCTTGAAGAGGCCCAACTCCAGAGGCTGGAGGGACAACAGCCACTCTTCTCCCAGACCCCACCCCACTGCTGGCTCCTGCCACAGCCCCTCCAACTGCAAGGAATAGCCCAGGGGAGGCGGGAGAGGCTGTCCGGCTTCCAGTTCACACTCTGGAGTTCTATGTCTCAGCAAACCCAGACTGCCCTGCTTCCTAAGGCCCCCTGCAGTGTTCCTGCGACCTTCAGGAGTCCTTTCTGAAAAGTCATGGCTCAGAACATTCCTATCACTCTTTTAGGAAATGTCTTCAAAATCAGTTCATAGACCACCCAAGAAAATCCATTTCTGTGATTTGTAATCACATATTTTAGCCTGAGAATGGAACCATTCCAGCCTGATCACCCATTCTAATTTACAGACTGAGAACCAAGTATCTGTTGGCAATTTGGAAAAAAAGAAAATCCATGAAAATACTGTGATTATTCACACCTGAGCACATTTTGTAAATGATTCACACACTGAACATTTCATTGAGTGCCTGCCACGTGCCAGTCATCACGCTAGCTGCTGGGACGAGAACCACAGCTTTCTCAGGGTTATTCCACAAGAAGAGTGCCGAGACCTGCCGGCAGAGAGCGGCTCGGCAGCTCTTCTGAAGAAGACCACACTCATTTGCTGTATAAACTGGGGTGCGGAGATTGCTTGTTAAAAAAAAAATTGTTCACTATCATTGAATCACCTCCTACACCTACACTCACCTCCTTCACTATATTCCTTCGTACGTGGCTTCTTTGGTTCCCCTACACCTCATGTCCACACCCCTGCATGCCCATCATTGGGGAGTTCTGTGGGGGTGAGCACTAAGCAGAGGGCTGGGGCTGGCTCCTCCTCTTAAATCTTTCCACACGCAGACATCGGGCGCCCTACTCGCTAACTGGGCTTGGTGGCCGGGGGTGGGGCAGGGCACGCACGTGGTGAGGGTGTTCAGGCCACAGGCTTTCATCTTCAGCAGGCGGTCCCTCCAGTATTCCTTGGGCACCCGGAAATAGTGGATGGAGCCCCCGAAGATCGAGAAGGTGGAGTCCTCCAGCATAAAGTTCTGGCCTTTTGCCTGCAGCCCGAACTGCCGCTGTCGGAGCCACAGAGGGACCAGAGTACTCCAGTCCCACCTGGAAAGAGACAAGGCACTCCTGGAGCCTCGGAACTCCCGGCAGCAGGGGCTGGGGCCCAGAAGGAGATCGGCTTCCTGCACAGGCCCTCAGCAATTCTTTCTAAGGAGGGCCTGTTTCCAGGGTAGCCAGGAAAACTGCCCACCCTCCGACTCGGCCAAACCTTGGAAGGGGTCTTTCTCCAGCACCATTCACTCGGCTGAGCCCTGCTGCAGGAGAAGGACAAGCCGACGCCGCAGCCAGGGACAAGACAAACACAACACTCAACATGAAGACTGGTGTGCTAAGAGGAGAGAGGGCGAGGCAGGCTGCACTGCGCAGGAAAGGCTGCTGTCTAGTGGTGACTCGAGAGCAGGCGCTGCACGCAAGCTACCATGGCCAGCTCTTCAGGGCCACTGCACTAAACACGAAAGCAGCAACAACTGCGGACAGTACCTCCGAGCCCCCTCACGGTCACAGCTGCCCGACTCGAGGTGCAGATACCTGGAAAGAGGCATCTGTGTTAAACAGCATCATCATCTATTCATCAACCAGATTTCCAGGTCTTAATTATTTTCTGAAGATCAAGTATCTGCCAAGAGATAACCTGGCATGACACAGTCCCCTCCGAGAAGGCTGCTGGAAAGTTCCAGCCCGTGGCAGAGCGCCTCTTGCCATCTCATGGGCCAGCCGAGGGGAGCCCCTCACATTGATCCCAGCGACTCGGTGCCCAGAGAGGCCCTCCCTCTTGTCCGCCTCGTCTCCTAAAGGCCGTGAGAGGAGGCTGGCAAGAGAAGGAGGGTGGTAGCAATTTCCAGCCAGGAAGTTTAGGAGTTAGAGACAGAAAACAAGAGAGTGTGAGTCTGGAGCAAAAGCAGATGTTAGCTGGTGGCTTCTGCCTCACCCAGTTCTCACTGCAGTTCCTGACACTAGAGAGTAGACTGCCGGCAGGGCTCCCCCACATGAAGAGCCCCTGATCCGAGCTTTACAGGAGGGACTGGGGCACGTTTGAGAGCCCAGACGGCCCGAGATGGGGGAGCAGGAATCCAACAGGCCGGCAGCTCAGATATCTTGGGACCACTTGGGACTTTTGTCTAGGGCCACTCACAGGCAAAGAAAATTATTTTTATTTTTAACCTACTCCTTCCTCCTCCTCACAGCCCCCAGGCTTTGAAGCTCACACTGAGTCTACAGTACCACAGTTTTGCTGCTTTGCAGACAGAATGGCCACCTGTGGCTCCTAATCAGCACGTTGTTCTTTCTCTAAAGTAAAAGCGTCCATGTTCCATGCATGACTTGCAAATGACATTTTAAGACACTGTTCTTCCAAAGGACAACCTATACAGGGGAGTAAAACAAAAACAATATCTAGAAGAGGAAGATCTGGATGTGAGTCCTGGCCTGCTCTTGGTAGCACTGTCACCTTGGGTTAGTGATACCAGCTCTGAGGGCAGGAGGGCCAATGCCTATCCCAACTGCTCAGAAAGGCTGCTGTGAGGGCCAGGTAGAAACAAGATACGTATGGTGCAAGACTCTTATCATTATTCAAAATAAATTTATTTTAGCATGCTTTTGCATATCAGAGAGAATAGCCTCAGTGGGTTTTACATCTCAAATATAGAATAATCCCAACCCTTCCATTTTCTCCATTTTAATATATATTTTATGTGCTAAACTTTGTGCCAACCCATCTTATTACAATTTCTAAAAATTTACAGTGAAAGAATCTGTACACTGGAATCCTATCAGACCAACCCAGAGTCTCCACTGCGGTGGCCAACTCCAGCTGCAGGCCAAATCCAGTCAGCCTTCTGTCTTTGTGCACCCTGCAAGCTGAAAATGGTTTTCATATTTTTAAGTGGTTGGGAAAAAAACCCAAAAGAATAATATTTGGGGACACAAAAATTATATGAACTTCACAGTTCAGTTCCCAGTTTTACTGGCATGCCGCTGCAGCCATGCATTGACATGGGCGGCTGCTCGGGGCACAGCAAGTGGTTGTGACAGAGACTGTGCGCCCGCAAAGCTGAGACATTCACCCCACTCTCGCAGGTGAAGCCCTGGACTGCTAAGATGAGGGCTCGGGGCCCCCTATGGGCCATGTCTGGGTCTTCTTTGACACTTCCTGCCTTCTCACTAGGCTCTTTCCATTTGGCTACAAGCTCCTGGCTGTCCTCGCTTTGTCTGAAGTTGCCCACACCTCAGACACAGGACTTTGTGCCTCCCTTGGTCTTGACCACACCTGCTCCAAAGAACGCTCTGCCTCCTGCCCAGCCCTCCCTGCTTCAAGCTCTCACCAGGTGCCCCTCCACACTGCTCCTGAGGTTCCTCCGAGGTACCTGCTGAGCTCACTCCAGGCTAGTGTCAGCAAGAACCAGATGGGCAAATTCTTTTCTTAAAAATAGGGGCATTTTGGCATTTTGGTGGTGAAAACACACACACACACACACACACACACACACACACTCACATTGTTTTTAAAAACAGTGTTAATACAATTTAGTGATTACTCCAGTGGGCAGCAATCCTTGTTTTCTGGCCAAAACTTCAACAGCACAATCTCTAATCACCAAAACACACATCACTGTTCCCTATTTCTGTTTATGGGTATGAGAGCCTCCCCTCCCCACTCTGCTAAGTGCAGAGGTGCAGGTGGGGGTGGAGGGCCTCTCTGGGACCCTCATTCCAATATAGTCTCTGCTAGTAACAAGTACCCTTAATTTGTCCCCTTGTTGGTGACTAATCACCAGAAACCCCCTTGTAGGCCGGCTTCTCCAGGTGTGGTTGCAAACAGCAGAGCATCTTCATTTGCAGCTTATTAGAAATGTACAAACTCGGGCCTTACTTGAGACCTACGGAATCAAAATCTGCATTTTAACCAGAGCCCAAGGTTAAACCTTGAGAAACACCCATCTATATTTTCTCCTTTGATACATGTACATACAGTCTCACCCTGGGTAGAGCTTCTCTTTGCTATTGTCTTTATATCCTACCATTTTCTGGATCTTTGAAAACATATTTATTCTCAGTGTTTATCAAAAGGCATGGAGTAAACATTGCAAATGAAAAAAAATCTAGCCGTTATCAAATTCAAATTTTGGAGAATTCAATTGTTTCCTTCCTGGAAATTTTCTGGTAGGTTACTAGAGAAGTTGTCAATCCATTAATAAAAGGGATAAATTCACCAAGAAAATGAGGATAAATGTTGGGTTTCTCCAAGGAATTCACTGTGAGAAAATGAGATGATACAAGTGAGAGCTTCATAAACAACAAAGCACCATGCAAATGGTTATTAACACTAATAATGATCATTAATGCTAATGATCATAATATTAAGAATACCCCCATAATTTCCTGAGCAACTCAGTAATAATAAAATAAAAGAAGTATCAACTATGTGGTTATATTTGGTTGGTTTAAAGCTCAGAGAGATTTTACTCCTAAATTAGGCTTGATACCGAGGAGATAACACAATCCTAAGGAAATCCAGTGTTTCTGTCACTTTCCCTAGTGAGCAGTTTATTCCTGGTGAATCTTTCTTTGATGAAACCAGGGAACCAGCCTTCTTTCCAGCTGGAGCTTATATTAACATCTCCTGGAATTTCTGTTGTCTTTGCATCTTGGCTTCATTTTAGGGTGACTTCTTATGCCTAGAATATACTGGACAGCAGGCCCAGGCCACTGACCTGAACTCAGTGCTCAGGCTTGGTCTGCTCCTCCACCAGGTGAGGAGGGCAGCCACGGTCATGCTCTGAGGTGACGTTCCTGCAAGAAGCATGTGTGTCAGGACTTCCAGTGGGCTTCACACAATATAACAAGCCCTCTACACCCATCTGCACCAATTTCCTTTTGACAAGTGGAAACAGCACACACTGTTCATGCTGGAGGCTGTGCAAGCTTCAGACACAAAAAAGTGGGTTGTGATGGAAACATTAAATAGAGGACATAGGTCTTGAATTCCACTGCACCTGTGGTAAGGAATTCTCACCCGGCTGTATTGGTGAGGAAGAAAGGCAGAGGATGAAGCCTCCTATGGTACTTTATTCTTAATCACTGAGGTGGAGCATGAGGACAGAGAGTACAGGGCAGGCTCCAGTCGGCAGGATGCCCACAGGTGTGATATAAAGGGCTAGTGGATGTGTGTGGATGGAAAAAGGCAGATGCAAGGTGCAAGGTCACCGCCTCTTCGACTTAGAATGAGCCCACAGATTTATTGCCAAGTTTCAGAGAGGGTCCTGCAGGGCAGATGGGTAGGAGGAGAGCCACACCCAGTCACTTCCTTGAATGATCTCCTCGAGTGAGGTGTGCTAATCGGGACAGTCCTGATGCTCCGTGCCACTCCAGCAGGCACGCTTGCCTCACCTGTAGATCTTGCAAACACCGATCAGTAATCAGTGGGGCTGGGAGGCCTCCTTGGGTCATAGTCCCCTCCTTCAGTAATCTGTTCTACCATGCAGATTGTGGCCAAACACAGATGGGCCAGGATCCATGCAACCAGGCACAGCAGGGCTGGGCACTGTGAACATCTGGAGTACAATGACCCCTAGCAGAGACCAGGCAACACTCAGGCACTCTGAGGTTGGCCAGGGGTATGGGCCAACAGGGGACCTGAGGTAAGAGCTGCAATGACAGCTGTTTGGTTCCCAGAACATAAGTCCTTGCTGGCCCCGAGGTTTGGTTATTGTGGCACTATATATAACATGTACTTCCTTATCTTAGATGACAGCTCACAAATTAAATCTCCAGGTACACTGTGACCCTAATAAAGCCTCCCTAAGCAGAGCTTCAGCTGAATCCAGGTCCAGGGCATCATATTAAGATGCTGACAAAGAAAACCCTCACCTCTACATTCATCCAAGTGGCCATGCCAGAGACCATTATTTAGATGACAGACATGTTAAACTGCCCACAAGACACCATCACACATAGAAATTTCCTCACTTGGGTCTAAAATGCAAAATTCTATTTACCTTCTCAAGATTCCAACTTCCTTGGATATCCTGCTCCCCTAAACTGTCCAT